TGTCAGGCACTATTCTAAACACTATACAAATATTTACTTATTTAGTACCAAATATGAGACATCGACATAGACTATAAAGCTATAATAATTAGAGCAGTATGATATTAGCATAGGAAAAAAATTTGACCAATGGGACTGTATCAGGATCAGGTCCTGCAGAAGCTGATACTAGATGAATTAGAAGTGTAAGAGATTCATTTGGGGAAAATGCCTGTTAAGGACAAAAGGGAGAAGAAGGGCCTTCGGATCACAATTTAGGTCCAATACCTATGAAAGGAAAGAGGGATGAAAGGATTGGGTAGGAAAAGCCTCAGACTGTAATGCAATTCTGAGAAAATCTTAGGCCAATGGATAGCTCCAGAGCAAAGCTTGCCCATTAGAAGAGCCCTATTTTGGACAGAACTGGTTCAGCTCTAGTACCCTCACTGCGCTCAGTCTGGGAACAGTCTAGAGCAGCGGTTCTCAACCTTCCTAACGCCGTGACCCCTTAATACAGTTCCTCATGTTGTGGTGACCCCCAACCATAAAACTATTTTCGTTGCTACTCTATAACTGTAATTTTGCTACTGTTATGAATCGTAAGGTAAATATCTTTTTGTTTTCTGATGGTCTTAGGCGACCCCTGTGAAAGGGTCGTTCGACCCCCAAAGGGGTCGCGACCCACAGGTTGAGAACTGCTGGTCTAGAGGGAGCATGGTTTCAGTGTGAACACTGTAGTGGATCTTGGAGGCATGGCAGCTGGAGACTGTCAGCTAACTACACTTCTTACCATAGGCTCTGTCTTGGAGGGACATCTGAGCAGTGTTCCTCTGTGGCTGCCAGAGGTATGGTGTGAAGATTCAAGAACAGACTCATTTATATATGTGAAATTTATTAATAATAAATCAGGCATTTCTAATTAGTGGGAAAAAGGATGGACTATTCAAATAAATGAAGTTGAAACAACTGGCTATCCATGTGGAAAGAATTAATTTAGATCCCTACTTCATATCATTCTCAATATAAATAAACCCAGATGGAGTAAAAAATTATAAAAATATATAAAGAAAACAACTTCTGAATAATTTTGGTGTGGAGAAGGCTTTTTATGCAAAATGCAACACCCAGAAGCCATAAAAGAAACGACTGAGACACAAAAGAAAACAGAAACAAATTGGACTGCATCACACTAGAAAGGTTTTGCACAGCTAAGGAAACAATCAACAAAGTGAAAAGACATCCTACTGAATGGGAGAAGATATTTGCCAATGATACATCTGATAAGGGGTTAGTATTTAAAATCTATAAAAAAAACTCATACAACTTAACACCAAAAAACCAAACAATCCAATTGAAAAATGGGCAGAGGACCTAAATAAACATTTCTCCAAAGAGGATATACATAAGGCCAGTAGACATATGAAAAGATGTTCAACGTCACTAATCATCAGAGAAATGTAAATTAAAATGACAATGAGATATCGCCTCACACTGTCAGAATGGCCATTATCAATAAGTGAAAAAATGTGTTGGCGAGGATGTGGAGAAAAGGAAACCCTTGTGCATTGTTGGTGGGACTGCAAATTGGTGCAGTTACTATGGAAAACAATATGAAGGATACTAAAAAAATTAAAAATAGAATTACCATATGACCCAGCAATTCCACTCCTAGGTATTTAGCCAAAGATATCCAAAACACTAATTCAAAAAGACATATGCACCCCTATGTTCACTGCAGCACTATTTACAATAGCCAAGATATGGAAACAACCAAAATGTCCATCAATTGACAATTGGATAAATGGTACATATATACAATGGAATATTACCCTGCCATAAAAATAATGAAATCTTACCATTTGTGACAAAATGAATGACCTAGAGGGTATTATGTTAAGTGAAATAAGTTAGACTGAAAAAGACAAATACCATATGATCTCACTTACATGTGGAATATTAAAACAAAATAAATGAACAAACTAAACAGAAATAGACTCATAGATATAGAGAACAAACTGATGGTTACTAGATGGGAGAGGGTTTGGGGGGCTGGGTGAGAAAGGTGAAGGGATTAAAAGTGAAGGGATTGATCATTACAAAATAATCACAGGGATGTAAAGTGCAGCATAGGAAATAGTCAATAATACTGTAATAATTATGTACAGTGTTAAATGGGTAATAAACTTATTGGGGTTATTACTTTGTGAGGTATATAAATGTCTAGTCACTATTGTTTTTTTACCCATGAAATTGAGAAAAAAAAAAGAGATAGGGTGGCTGAATGGATATGAAAACAAGACCCCTACATATGCTGCCTACAAGAAACTTACTTCAGATCGAAAGACACACACAGACTGAAAGTAAAGGGATGGAAAAAGATATTTCATGAAAATGGAAATGAAAAAAAGAAAAAAGCTGAGGTAGCAATATTTATACCAGACAGAACAGACTTTAAAACAACGGCTATAACTAGAGAAGGACCCAGTAATCCTACTTCTGGGTATTTATTGGAAGAAACCCAAAACACTACTTCGAAAGGACATGTGCATTCATATGTTCACTGCAGCATTATTTACAATAGCCAACACGTGGAGACAACCTGGGTGTCTGTCAATGGATGAAGGGATGAAGAGGAGGTAGTACATATATACAATAGAATATTACTTAGCTATAAAAAAGAATGACATTTGCCATCTGCAGCATGGATGGACCTAGAAGGTATTGTGCTGACTGGAGTAAGCCAGACAGAGAAAGACAAATGCCTTATGATCTCACTTACATGTGGAATCTAAAGAACAAAATAACAAAACACAAACTCATAGATACAGAGAACATTTTGATGGTTGCCAGGTAGGAGGGGGGTTAGGGGGATGGGTGAAAAGGTTGAAGGAATTAAAAGGAAAAGGTTGAAGGGACTATATTCCTTAGGCTATACCCTACATCCCCATGACTGTTTTGTAACTACCAATTTACAAAACAGTCATGGGGATGTAGGGTATAGCCTAAGGAATATAGTCAATAATATTGTAATAACTATGTATGGTGTCACATGGGTACTAGATTTATTGGGGTGATCACTTCATAAGTTATATAAATGTCTAATCACTATGTTGTACACCTGAAAATAATATAATATTGTATGTCAACTGTAATTGAAAAATAAAAATATTTATAAAAAGAAAAAAGAAACGACTGATTTGATTAAATAAAAATTTAAAACTTCAGTACAGATAAAAAGCATCATTAATAAAATTTAAAAATCAGGTGATAGAGTTGGAGAAAATATTTGTGCTATAACTGGGAAAGAATTAAAAGGTAGAATATAAAGAGATCCTCCACATCAATAAGATAAACAATCCAACAAGAAAATGAACAAGGATATTGACAGGTAATTGAGGAAATGGCTAATAAACATTGGAGAAAATGTTTATATTCACTAGTTATCAGAGAAGTGGGAATTATTGGGCAAACCAGGGGCAAAAATTAAAAATATTGCTAGTATATTTTTATATTCGTATGTAAAATATTTCAACACAGCTGGGAAAATGAACATCTGGCTTTTCTAGCTTCTAAATGGGAAGTTGGTAGGAAGAAACGATTTAGGAATAGGTTTTAATTTAGTGAACCCTCAGTATTTACCATATCCACAGGTAAGGGAATGAAAATGGTTGTACAAACTATATGGTACATGCTTGAGAAGGAAAGCTATGCAGCAAATAAGTCAGTATGGACTAATGTGGAAAGATTTTTCAAGATGAAGAACAGTACATATAACCGAATTTTATGTACAGTGCATCATTAGGGGATTTCGTTGTTGTGCAAACATTATGCACTTACAGAAACCTAGATGGTATAGCCTACTACACACCTAGGCTATATGGTCTAATCTTATGGAGCACCATCGTAAATGCAGTCTGTTGTTGACCCAAATGTGGTTATGTGGCTGGGGCATGACTGTATTATTAAAAGAAAACTAATTTTATCTCTGGGGTTGGAATAGGAATTGAAGTGGAGGAGGAATTTATGGATTTACTCTATAATTTGGTATTAAGTCATTTACATTAAATTCTTATTTTTCTTGAGAGATTAAAAAAAAGAGATATCAAGCAATTCCTACCCCTCCTCCCAAAAAAACCCAAGCAAGTAAAACCCTAATTCTCTTTTTTGTCGTTGGAATCCATTCACCATTTTTTCCACAACAGCCTTTGATTTTTCTTTCTTCTCTATTCCCATAGCTATACCCCATTTCTATTAGTTTGTGCCTGGTTAATTCTAATAGCTTTCTAACTAACACTCATACTTCCAGTCTTTCTTTACCCTTTTCCTGCAGCCCACAGCCAGCTTTCTTTTCCTAAGACCAGATTTACTTCAGTCAACCCTCTCCACAAATATTTGATGGCTTCCCCAAAGTGGGTGCTAACAGGTGTTCCATGGGAAGAGAGTTCTGTGGTCTGGTGAATCTGGTAAATGCTGTGTTCAACAGTTTCAAAAAGATTTCTTCAGAGTGGAATAACTAGTCTTTAAAATGTCAATGTGTTAAGGGAGCTTCTAACGGAGCAGGGAGAGTGTGTGTATAGTTCTCAATTTATCAGACAATCCTTCTTTTGAGGAACACTACTGACTTTCTCAGAATAGACATTGAGAAACCGTGACTTAAGGGAAAAATTCATAATTATTCTTTTGGCATTAATGGCCTTGCTCAACTCGTTCTTATCTAAATTCCTTCACTTCCCAAAATGAGTTTCCTTCCCCACTTCTTCCTTCAGGGGTCAATGCTAGTTCCTCGTCCTTCAGGGAGTTCTTCCTAATTATCTCAGTTTCTTTGAACTGTGGCACTTATCACCAGAATGCTCTAATTATTGATTTCCTCCCCTTTTCTTGAGCCCATTTTGTGTAGCCACCTGAGTAGGGCCAGGAATGTGTCTTATAATCTGTAGTACACATAATATTTGGCTGCTTGAATATTGTGCTTCCTCCCCAGTGTGGATAATGCTCACCTCTACACAGGGAGTATCTAGGCCTTAGATAAACTTTTTATTGCTGTGTACTGTCACAAAAAGCACTGGAAATGGTACTGTATTAGTTTTCTATTGCTGCTGTAACAAATTACCACAAACTTGGTGACATGGGTCTCACTGAGCTAAAATCAAGGATGGTGTTCCTTCTGGGGGCCTTAGGGAAAAATCCATGTTCTTGCCTTTTCCATCTTTTAGAAATCTCTGCATTCCTAGGCTCCTGGCTCCTTTCTTCTATTCCATCTTCAAAGCCACAAGGGTTGACAGCCACAAGGGTTGGCTGAGACTGTTAAAGAACAAAATTCAATGGTGTAAATTTGAAGGTCTTATTGGCTTTATTAAGCAATTCATTAATCAGACAGCATCTTATCTAGCAACTAGGAAGGAGCCCCATTGGGTTGTACAAAATGGGAAGACTTTTATAGGCAGGAATGTTATTAGCAAAAAAAAAGAAAGGATTATTTTTAGGCCAGGTCATTCTTCTGGGTAGGAAATGGCAGGGTTTTTTTATCATTCAGATTACCTCATAGTATTGATGAGGGAATTCCAGACAGGATTGGTTAAAATCTCTACTCCTGGGCCGGCCCAGTGGCATGTTGGTTAAGAGTTGGCTTGGGACGCCAGCTCTGAGCAGCAGGGCATTGGTTCAGATCCCACATGAGGGCCACTGACAATGCGCCCCCTACAGCTAAGATGGTGAACAACACCTCAACCTGACGCCAGCGACAGCGTAGGCTGCAGTGGGGCTGGCTGGCAGCAGGCGTGAGCTTTCGTGAGCTGCCGGCCATCCAATGGCCAGCGAGCAACTGCCTCTCCCAGGAAGAGCGCAATGATAATACTAACATGGGCCAGAGAAGCGATGTCCTCCACAGATAGACTGAAGAACAAAAGGACAGCAACTTGTCTGTTCCCCTTCCCTGATTCCCCAGCGCTGTTCCTCTCCCCCAATTCCCCAATAAAATCTTTTTTTTTTTTTTAAAGAATATCCTTAATTTTCAGTCCAGTGATCATACTGGCTGCTTTCCTGTTACCTTTGCAAACAGTTGTTTTGGAGTACAATGCTGCTTTAGGCCCAGTCCAAAAGTTATTTTGCTCAGTTTTAACATCACAAAGGTTTGAGTAGGGTGTGCAAAGTAGTTCCTCTAGGATGGCAGCTTGGACACCATTTTGAAGTGGCTCTGTTTATATTATTTTTTTACGAGGCCCTCTCACACCATATCACTCTGACCTCTGCCTCCCTTTTCCACTTGTAAGGACCCTTATGACAACATTAGGCCCACCTGGAGAATCAGGATAATTTCCCCATTTTAAAATTAGTTGATTTGAAACGTTAATTTATTTCCATTTGCCATGTAACCTAACATAGTCACAGTTCCCAGGGATTGGGAAGTGGACATCTTTGGGGAGCCATCATTCTACTTATTACAGGCACCCTTGCTCAAGTCTAAATTGAGGGTATGCATCTAGGTGATGGGGGTGTGGCAAAAAATAGGGAAAACTTTTTGGAATGATAAAAAACTCTCTTTAAATCCAGGGAGGCCCTGCTGCGTGATCTTTGGCAAATTACTTGTCTCAGTATCCACATTTCCGCTAAAATGAAAATTGCCATCCTTTGCTCTGCGTGTTAAATGAATAATTATGTAAACGAGTTTAGCTTAGAGGTTAACAAATGGGGCTTGAGAAGTTCTTGATGAATCTTGATGAGGAGGATGGGCAAAATTATCTGAATGACATCTGGAGATTTCCGAGAACAGGATGAGTGAAAAGTGCTTGCCCTTGCAAGGAGCTGGAGGTTGAAAATTCTAGCAAAACGAATCAAGTTTAATCGAAGCTTTTCATTTAAGGTTTGAGGTAGAGGGCCCAGGTTAAAAAAGGTGAGAAGTGAATTGGCTCCTTAGGAGACACCCAGGTGACAGAAAGTACAGAACAGAAGGGGGAAGGAAATCTGTGAAGTCTTCCTAGGCAAAGGTTAAATTTTGTGAAATTCCCTCCCCACTGAGTTCAAGGCGATATATACCATAGTTGTATAACAATCACTTAGCAATTAAATAGAAGGATTAAGAACGTTGGCCGGGGAAAAGAAAAAGCAAAGGGTATAGGTTCCACCGAGATTTGAACTCGGATCGCTGGATTCAGAGTCCAGAGTGCTAACCATTACACCATGGAACCACCACACGCGTGTGGCCATCTTCGGCTCTCTAATTCCTAGAGAGCCCCGCCCCCATTCACAAACCTACCACACGGAGGCGGGGTTGAGGCTCTCCCTAGAGCCCCGGTTCCGGTATGCCGGCGGGAGGAATGAGGGAGAGGCCACTAAGAGTGTGGTGAGCGGCCGTTAGGACTATGATCCGCTGGGAGTACGAAGGCTGTTTCTCCTCTGAACTGCTTGAAGCGGGTAAGAATTTGAAGACGGACGCCGTTTCGGCGAACACCACCCTTCGTAGGCTCAGGGGCAGGGCGCCACCCCCCGGAAGTACTTCCCTACGGGGGCTGGGGCCCGCCGGAAGTGGCGTAGCGGCAGGGAGGGGTTCTTCTCCCGGTCAGGCAGCTGAAGCTCCGCTCTCGGGTTACCCCTGCAGCGACGCCCCCTAGTCCCACCGATACCACTGCTGCTCCCGCCCCTTCGCTCCTCGGCCGCGCAATGGGCACCCGCGACGACGAGTACGACTACCTCTTCAAAGGTGAGGTCATGGGTTCTACTTTCCACCGAGTCCGGTTCGGGGGCCCGAGACATTCCCGGGGGACCCGCGTGAGGGCTACCCCCGTACTGAAATCGGCCTTCCTCATTCTGTCCCTTTCTGTGCGGTTTGTTCCGCGGTCTCCCAGCTCAGCCCCTTTTCCTCCCCTAAGACAGCGAGTCCTCGCCGCACACCGGTCTTTTAGGGACCTTCCCCAAAGGCCTTCGCTGGCCTCAGATCCCGTCACCGTGTGTCCTCCTCTCGGCTGGTTTCCTTCTCCCAAATCGTCTTCCTTTCCGGGGTTCTAGGGCCCCTATAAAGGGGTCGCCCCTCCCACCATGTATCCTCCGGATTTGGCGCCCCCACCCCCTGCCGGACTCACTCCCCTTCCTGAGCCGCTTTGACCGGCCCTTCCTTTGCTCCTCGCCTTTGCCTTCGGCGCAGACTCCCACTGCAAGTCTTTGGCTTATGTTCCCCCCTTCCCGTCGGGCTAGCCCCTCCTCAGCGTCTTCTCACAGCCCCTCCCCCCCCTCGGACCGACGGCTCTCCTAGCCATGTTCCATCTCCGGGCTAGGCCCTCGTTAAAATCTGAGCGGGCCAGTGGCCTCCACCCGCTCCACGGTTCTCGCTGTTAATAATGTTTTCGCACTGCCCCTGGGGTCGGTAGCTCGTTCTCTACCTTCCTGTCCCCAAATAGTTTAGAGCTCTCCCACGTCGCCCGTGCGACCCCAAGGGTGGGGAGCAGGGCAAGAGGGATTGTCCGACACCCACGCACGCACTTGTCGCAGTGACCCGGCAGAGTGATGTGATTTCCCACCCAGCCTTTTTTCTCCTGCCCTCCCTACCCGGCGCCAACCGGCCCGGGATAACTCTTGACTCTGCTCGTGGGAAGGGGTTGCGGATGGGTGGTGGCTGTTATCCTTGCCAGACCTGAAGGCCCAGTTCCTGAGCAGGAAAGGTTGTGCGCTGCACAAATACTAGCTCGTTTTATCACTATGGACTGGTTGCTTCCTGCTGCAATACTGGGGAGGATCCAACCTTTTCGTGTTTTTAGAACCGGAAGGGAAGAGTCCTAGTTGGCTACATACCTTTCTCAAAAGGTGGGGGGTTATCTGAAAAGTTGTGTGTGCTCTTTGGTCAAATTAAATGATTTATAAGACAGAGAAACATGTAGTGCCCTTGGGCAAAACATTGGAGGGTGGGGAATGGATAGAAAGAATTGCTTATTGGGGCAGTCCGGAAAGAATCCAAATAGTTTTTTTTTTTAATTTATCAACAGATAAAGGGTACAGTTTTCAATGAGAAAAGAGTACACTAAAAGCTTTTTTTGTTCGGAGAATGCGCTCTCACTGTGATGCTCTTTCTTTGCTCCTGAATTAGGGTAGCAGCCATCAGTGGTATGCTGAACAAAGATCATTACCAGGGAGGAAGAAGCCATCGCTATTAAAGCTTTACAGTGGAGGGTGGAGTTTAAAAAGAGTGTTAAGCATGGTGACAGTTTCTGACTTTACCATTGGGTGCTCAGAATGACTAAATGAAGCCGGTAACATTTCTTTGCTTTACCAATACTTTGCAAATCTTGACATACTAGCTGATGATATAGTCTTATTACCACTTACTCCTCTGGGCCAGACTATTCTATGTTGTGAGTACCTTCAATATCCTCCCCGCCCCCAGTAGAGAGTCATTTACAGAGAAGAGGATACTTAATGCATTTTACAACTACAAAAAGGAAACGTGGATTAGTTTACATACTGTTTGCTGAAGTCATCTGAGGTCTGGTGAAATTACTTAAGTGAGACCCTGGAGACGGGTTTAGCCATTAAAGGGAGATTTTTTTTTTTAAATGAAGTACAGTGGCAGTGGGCCGCTAGCTGCCTTTGAAGTAATTAATTTAGAACAAGATAGACTATCAGAGTATTTCTCCTTTTTGGTTGGGAACTTAAATATTGCTTATAGAAGCCATACCTTTTTTCACTAGTAATGTTATCCTGGATTGGCTTAAGGAGTTTTAATTTAATTTTGGGATTAGACTATCTAACAATGATTGAGAGCACAGGGCTTTGGAATCACACAGGCCTGGATTCAAATCCTGACTCAGGTCTTAAATTTGCTTGGTAACCTTGAGAAAGTTAACTTTCTTGTGCTTCAGTTTCCTTATCCATGAAAAGGAAATAATACATAACCTCTCAGGACTGTTGTGAGAATGAAACAAGACTGGCTGTAAAATTTTAACTACTGTGAATACTCTATAAATGGTAATAATGTGGAAGAAGTTACTGTGGTTCTTTCCAGTTTTTCTTAAGTATGAATCTTTATAAAAGCATGTAAATATTAAACTTAAAACTAGGAACTTCTAAAGTATTTTATGTTTCCATGGGTTATGGTTTCATTTCGTTGTACATTTTCCTGTTTAAGGTAGGGTGTTTAAAAATTTTGCTGAGAAGGATTTCCACTTTTTTAAAGCTCTTACAGGATATGTCACTCACTGTTTTTTTTTTTTTTTTACTTTAGTGCTGATCATTTAGCCAATTTCTTTATGCAGTTATAATTTAAAATGAAGCAATAATTTGTTTTAAAATGATTTCATTTTACAGAGATTTATTTACTGAGATGAGCTACAGCTCTACTTGGAAGAAGGCTTATCTAGCAAAGTTAATAGTTGAGGGGATTTGTAGTTTGTAACTAACCAGTTGAAAATGAAGGGATATTTTGATTTGTATAGGATAGAGTGGTCCAAATGGAAATGTAATACGGGGGAGCTGGACAGTTATTCTAAATTATGTATTTGTTCTTGTACATTAACCTTTAGTTAAGCTGAATATTGGGACTTTGGTGGGGAGGAATTAATTTTATTTTTAAAAACTTGACTTTTTTATTTTAAACACTTTCATTCTACAAGTATTTACCCACAGTGTAGTTAAGGCCTTGTGGGACACATAAGTGAAATAAACATCAATCATAGTTCCTACTTAAACATACTGTGGTAGACACCGATCCAGTCAAAGTCACATTTTCTGAAAACATCTGGATATATTGTCTACACCACTTTCTTTTTAATCTCATTGAAGGTCAGTAGTAATTAGCCATCAGCTGATTGTCAGTGGAATTGATCATAGGAACTTTGCTGTCTAGCATCTTGCTAGCTTTTCTTTCACAACTTTTGGTTGAGCAACTCAGATTCTGCTGAATCTGGAAAAACATGTCTAGACTTCAGCCTTATTGAATGCATTTTATTTTAACGATTCTTTTGGTGAGGTTGGACTATGAATATAGTTGAAAGAGTAGATAGATTTCCAACTTTGTTTATAAAAAAAATATGAGAATTATCCGTTGTTCCTTCAAGTGATAACTTGTAGTAGGTCAGATGTAATATGATTGATTTGTTGAATTAAATTTTAGTCCGGTATATTAGTTTTCAAGAGAGTGTATAAAAGTAAATGTGGCTGAAGAAGTGGACATTTTAATTAAATAATGGTAATTAATATGTATATTCTGTTTTTATGGCATTTAGTAGCCTAACATTTGATATATATATTGAACCAAGTTTCTTACAAGGTATTAGAGATAATATTTAAAATTCAGCAGATGTTAGCCATGTGGTCATAAATATCAGGTTATTTTAGAAATGCTATATCTGTTTCATATATAGATGCTTTTGTGTGTGTGTGTGTGTGTGTATGTGTGTATGTACACATTACATAGATGACTATAGTGATACAAATGTTTAAAGTACTTTTACTCTAAAATAACTAGTTATGGAAAACAGGAAAGTCTCACCACAAATTCCTTTCCTGAATCATATAGGAGGTGGTCATATAGTTTGTCACTTTTTTTTTTTACAGTGAAAAAATTTTATATTTAGAATTAGCCAGCTGGACTCAGTTTAGATGATCCCAATTTTGTTGGCAACTTCTAAAGCATTATAGTCAGGAGCCAGTCGAATGTATACCTTCTTCTCTCCATCAGGCCTGATCAGGGTGCTGACCTGGCCAGGGTGCTGACCTTGGCCATGTCAGTGTCATAGAGCTTCTTCACAGCCTGTTTAATCTGGTGCTTGTTGGCCTTGACATTCACAATGAACACCAGTGTATTGTCTTCTGTCTTCATGGCTGGCTTGGTAGTTAGGGGGAATTTGATGATGGCATAGTGGTCAAGCTGGTTTCTCCTGGGCGTGCTCTTCCGAGGATATTTATTTAGGCTGCCTTCGGAGCTGCAGGGTCTCGGGCCTTCGCAAGGTGGGTGACATGTGGATCTTTTTTTTGTGTGGCTGTGGACGCCTCTCAGCTCTGCTTTCCTTGCCTTCAAAGCCTTTGCTTTGGCTTCGGCCCTGGGAGGGGCCAGGGCTTCCTTCTTTGCTTTCAGCACCATCTTCGTGAAAAAGCTATTGGGTTGTCGGAAAAGTCGTGACATTTTTTTCTGTTTTTCATTGCAAAAATGCATCATGATTTTTACGATAACCCAATAGTTTGTCACATTTTTAAAAAGCAATTAAATTGTCATCTTAATGAGAGAAACTATTTTATTAGAAACAAGTTTGAGTCCATGAACTTTTTTTTTTTACCATTTTCTATTAGATTTATTTTTTTTCTCTCAAAACTTTTTTTATCTAAAAAAAAAGGGGGAAAAAACCCCCCAAAATTATTGGAAACTTTATGGTTCAAGTGGGAAGAAAGGAGAAGAGCATGTTGCTGAGGCTCTGAACCTCTCCAGAGAAAGTCCTCACCCTTGAAATGCCCTCTTTGGGGGGAGAACAGTGCTGAGGACAGCGCCCTCATGCCCATCCTTGCCTGGAAAAGTGGGCATCATAGTGGTCCAAGGGCCAAAGGGGCTGGAGGGGACAGGGACCAAAGGAGTTCACAGAAAGTTGTCGGCCATGGGCTTTTTGGAGGGGATGCCCTGTGTCTCTTGGGGAGCGGCATTGGAGATGAAAAAATCTTTCTGGATATGTTCATCTTGCTCCAAGATGGCTGCTACATTCCCACAACTGGAAGTTGGAGGGTGGCAATTAAAGAGTGTGTCAGCTTCGATCCCCACCCCGTCTTGATCTTCTGGCCCAGGCAGCTCACTGGTAGCAGTAGTTTGGTGCAAACCACATAGTGAGCACAGTCTCATTGAAGTGCTGCTTGTAACCTTCCATCACCAGTTGGTGGGCATGGCAGATCATGTCAGTGTCATCTGCTGCATTGAAATGGGCCACCATGTTTTGGTTTGATTTTTTTAAATCATAGCCAGCAAATTCTCTTTCGTACCTTAGGTAATTTAATCTATTCTAGTTAATTTTTTTAAGTGAGCCTAAATGTTTACTTCTTGGATTGGTTTCTCATTTGGTAACTGAATAGTAGCAGCTTTTCTATTGTGTCATTTCTCAGTATCTTGGCAGCACTATTTTTAAAGAACCAATATCTTCTGTTGTCATATAAGATATAGCCCTTTGAGAAGTTGCTAGTCTTAATTCTGACAATCTCGTACATGTCTAGTTGAGATGACTTTTATACTGTATAAAACATGAGTCTTGAATTACTTTCAGATAAAGGTGCTGTTCTTTTTTATAATGTTAAAACTAATTGGTTACATTGAGGGGGAAAATACCCTCACTAACTTACTTTATAATGGCATAAAGATTTGAGGATGGGAAGACAATGAACATAATTGTTAAAGTGGAGGTTGAATGGGAAGAAACCAAAAACTTGAAAGTTTTAAGTTTGTGTGGGAGGGAGGTGTTCTTTGAGTTTATATTCCAAAGTTGTCATCATTCTAGATGTCTTGTTTTCTGGCTTTAAACTAAGTGACTGGTTTCTGAATTACTGATTGATATCTGAGTACGCCTGTAAGTGGAAACGTTCAACATTTTGGTTTTCTCCTTCTTTCCTATTCCCACTTAAAAGTGAGGCTTTTATACCTCAGTGCTAGTGTGGGGCCAGAAATGATTCAAAGGAGGTTTCCTCAATGGTACATCCAGCCTCTTGCACTAAGAAACAATAGTGAGTATCCTGTTAATAAGGTGGACTCTATTGCTGAAACTGAGATTTGACCTCATGTCCAGAATTGTGGACTTTGAAAATTAACATATCAACCAACCTTCCTGTAAAATTGGAAATGTATTGTTCTTGTATGTTACTTTCATAACCACAATATCTTCTTCCCTGGTATCCAAATTAAAATATTTATTGTAATATCTGTGTTTGCCACAATACCATTGACACCTCTCACTATATAGCTAGAAGTAACTACTTGTGCTGCATGATATCACTGCTGCCTGGATAATTTCTTGCTGAATCAGCTGATAGAGGAAGCCAAATAGATACGCATTTGATAATATACTCCCTCCAAGACTGTCCAGAGGCCAGCTTATATTGCTCTTGTGGCAAGGAAGGGATACATAATAGATTCTCTTTGCCCTCTGACCAGAATGCAGGAGCTCTCACAGTTTTTTGTTTTGTTTTTAAATTAATTTTATTGAGGAATGACATGTTTTTCCAGGACCCATCAGCTCCAAGTCAGGTAGTTGTTTCAGTCTAGTTATGGAGGGCACAACTCAGTGGCCCATGTGGGGATCGAACTGGCAACGTCGGTGTTATGAGCCTGCACTGTAACCAACTGAGTTAACTGACTGCCCCGAGCTCTCACAGTTTTTACCTCCCTTTTCATCTCCACCAAATCCCAATCTCTTTAGTAAGCTTTGGTCTTAATTCCTTGGTGTTATTCTTGGATGTTCGATTTTCTAGTCCTGGTGTCTAAATCAATTAGCTAGGGAGAAGTAAGACGCATTAGTAGTCAGCAGTAGGAATGAGTATAATATTTTTTGAAATATTTATCAAATTTTCTATAAAGGAAAAAAGTGTTATCGAGCACTCAGATGCTGTAAACCTGTGAATTCAATTTGTTCTTTAAATGTAGATAGAAATGCTTTAATATAACTGCCTATTTCCCCATTGTTTTTGAAATTCTTAAGTATAATACCGTTTTCGGTGAAAAAGAATCTCCATGTATTTACTTTGTAAATAAACTGCCTCCTATGGTAATCATAACAAATAAATTCATCTAATCAGAACCTGTTTTAAAAATTTTTCATGAAGTTGTAAGTGAAAGTGTGTGCCCGCCTTGCTTTGGTCTTGAGTCAGAGTAAGTCAGATTTACTAGTCAGCTTCCTAGGGCCCTTGTTAAATTTATTGGAGTGTTTGTTTTTGGAGGAGTCTCTAGTTTCTTGCCAATCTGATAAATGTGTCTGTTAAAGGGTCATTGTCATTGTAGTTTCTGTGATCTGGGTGGCAAAATTTATAAACCTGATGTCTCCTGTTAAATGTGTTTCATTTTTGCCTAGGTGTGAGTCCTGAGATTACACCCAGTAACACACTTTGGTGAAACTAAGTAGAACATAGTATTCTTTCCCGCCTTACCACCCACTACCATCCTTTGTTGCTTTCACATGAGTCTGATATATTTTAATATCACAAATTGTTTATTTAGTTTAGGCTTTATCTTTCAAGTTATTACGTTCTAAGGTAGTAAGATTGGTATAGTATTGATGGTTAGTTAATGCATTAGCCTGTCGTAGGTGCCGGGTAGACTTTGGCATGTGTAAGATGGGATGGTGTAGCTATGCTAAGCAGATGATGTGTGGAAGTCATTATGCAGGTAGAAAAAGATAAGAATAAATTGTTTTTATCTATTGGTAGCAGGTTGAGAACATGGGCTACTCAATTCACCCCTACCCCATCCCTTTTAAAAAATCAGATGCTCTATTGTTTTTGCTTTAAAGCATGCTGATATTCTGAATGTGTTTGCCTCATTCATCTGACATAAAGTTCTTTGTCTTTTCAGTTGTCCTTATCGGAGATTCTGGTGTTGGAAAGAGTAATCTCCTGTCTCGATTTACTCGAAATGAGTTTAACCTCGAAAGCAAGAGCACCATTGGAGTAGAGTTTGCAACAAGAAGCATCCAGGTTGATGGGAAAACAATAAAGGCACAGATATGGGACACAGCAGGGCAAGAGCGATACCGAGCTATAACATCAGCGTAAGTCTTAGTTTTTAAGTTCTGTGAAATAGGCTGCCATTGAGTGAATTAGCTGAGTTTTGGTAATGGAAAAAGTACTTCTTTTTTTTTCCTTTTAAGAATTCCAATATTAGGATTTTGAAATTTATAAGTGTGTTTTAAAATATATATAATACATATATTTAGTTTTTCCTGGTGTTCCCTTCCATTTTGTGGTTGTTTTCTAATAGTTAAGTGCATGTTTCTGTTTTCAGATACTATCGTGGAGCTGTAGGTGCCTTACTGGTTTATGACATTGCTAAACATCTCACATATGAAAATGTAGAGCGATGGCTGAAAGAACTGAGAGATCATGCTGATAGTAACATTGTTATAATGCTTGTGGGCAATAAGAGTGATTTGCGTCATCTCAGGGCAGTTCCTACAGATGAAGCAAGAGCTTTTGCAGGTTAGTGATATGAATTCCATGATATTACAGTGATTCTGTATTTCTTACTGTTATACCTTGCAGTTTTGATAACCCTTCCAGTGCAGGTAATCAGTTGCAGTAGTTTTGAAAAGGTAAACCTGAATGGTTCAAGAAGGATTGTTGTTTTAAAAGTGTGTGACGACTGTATGGCTCTTTTGCTTAACTTTGAGTCATTAAAACACTATAGTAATGCAGTGCGGTAGTCAGATATGTATGTCAACTATAATGATATATACATATAGTCACGGGACGTGGAGTAGAGTGTGGGAATGGAGTCAATGGGATTGTAATAGATAAGCATGATATCGGGGGTGGGAGGGCAGTAGATGGGGGAGGGGGGTTTTTGTGCGAAGGCTGAAAAGAATAACTGTTGCATTGTTCTGTACACCTGAAACTAACAATAAAAGAAAAACAACAAAAATAACTATAGTACTTTGAGGTTTTGCTGCCAAAAATTGAATGTAAAGACCGTCATCTTTTCTCCCCCTGGAAAGGTTAGATGAAATCTATTTATTCTGGGTTCCCTATGTCTTTATCCATTATGTTTCTGTGTTTTGCCAAGGCTGCTCTGTGTGGGTCTGAAAAGTAGTGGCCGGGGAGTGTCAAGGACCAATAGGCATGTAGCTGCTTAGGAGTTAAAACTTATTTAGCTTTATAGAGTCTGCCTATCTCTTGCCCCTGTTTTGGTAGGGGCAGCTTACCAGAAGGCAATATTGTGCATTCTTGGCTAGTGAAGGTTGTGACCCTCCACTAATGATTGTACCATTTTCTATAACAGTTTTTAAGTTTTCCACGTAAGAACTGTATTTCAAACAATATAGCTACAGAATTTGAAGTGAATCGCATATATACCATCCACATTCATACTGTAGCTATGTGGTTGATGGGGAGAAAAGGACAGTAAGGGATGGAAATAACTGGCTATTCAATAAGTTTACCATATTTTAAGTAGTGTCATTCATTCTGGTGGTAGTATTTAGATGCAACAAATATTTATTTTAATGAAGCCAATAAAAATTTCTCACTGTTACTTTTAATCTACTAAAGTGTAAGTAGAATGGTGGTACCCTTATTGCTCAAGGAGTTGGGGAGGTCTTAGGTTTTAACAGTGTTTTATTTTCCTTTCCAAAGGTTTGAGTGTATCACATCCCTTGTATTAAAATTTGACGAGACTGAAGTTTTTGTGTCTCCCCACAGAAAAGAATGGTTTGTCATTCATTGAGACGTCTGCTTTAGACTCTACAAATGTAGAAGCTGCTTTTCAGACAATTCTGACAGGTAAGACTTGCGTTTTCAGATTATACCAGTGGAAACAGGAAGTTTTAGGGGAGGTAATTTAAACAAATTGGGAAACCAAACAATATATCACACTATCTGAGAATGACTATCATTTGAGAACTACTGTAGTAAGAGTTTTTAGAGTACAAAATTAGTTACAATCTTGCTTGCCGAGCTTTAATCATTCCTAATTCATCTGGTTTATAGTGGGGAAAAATACTTTGAAAATTATTCAGTTCTGATATTTCAGTCCATGTATTCCATAATTAATGGTCATAAGCATGAAGTAATGCTTAAATGTACCTTCTTAGATAAATATTGAAATCCTGGCTATGGAAAGATATAAGTGCCTTATCGAAATTCAGTAAAGGAAAGGCATTTTTGGTTCTGATTGGTTAGAGAATCATCTAGGGAAAAATATATTCTTAAAAATTTAAATGAAAAAACAAAAAGTAAAATTCTCCCATGATACATTATGGAAGCAAGGTATCACCTATGGAGAAAATCAGCTAGTGATTTCATATAGAAAAGTTTTAACTAAATAGTGGGAAAGGAACAAAGTTCATGCTGTTTTGGAATGTGGATGTGCGGACCAGGTCAACCTCAGGGATGAGAAACCATTTTATTTGTGTTAACTCATATTTACCCTAACTTTATTAGAATGACCACCTTATCAGTAAATTTAATCTTAATTCTCTAATAAATACTTCAGTAGATTGTTTTAAGTACTTTAAAATTGTGTATTACTTTTAAGAACTCACTAGTCTTAATACATAGCACAGTCTTATGTGGAGTTCTACAAAGTCTATATGGAGAAATGGTTAAATGAGTTCCCAGTTATAGCAAGATTTTAATTTATTCTTTGTGTGTAACAATTGTAGTAAAGGTGAATAGATTTTAACCTTTAAATGTCTTATTTTACTGTAAAAATGTAGAGACTAAGCCTAGGATTTAAGAAAATGAATTTAGAAGCCTGACTTGGGTTCTGTCCTGGCTCCCCTACTTATTATTAGCTCTATATAATCTTAGTTGTTACTTAACCTTTTTAGCCCTTAATTTCTTTGTAAAATTTAAATATGTTTAAATATAAATCAGATTCATAGTGTCTTAAAATGAGTGAGTAATCTTGAAGGTCTGAGTCTCTTAAGGTCTCTGAAAACCTCACTTGAAAAACTTTAGTCAATCCTTGTTGGGATATTTTTTATGTCCCATTAAATCTCCTCTGCTGTAATTTCTAGTTCATTTATTCTGATCTCTGTTTCTAGCCCATTTATTCTAATACTGAGTGAAGGTGAGGCCATGTCTTTTGTTCTATCTGCAGTTAGCTATTTTATGTATCATTTTGTAACATGGAACTTGTGATCTACTTAAAACATGAACTAATCAATAAGCAGTGATATATATACTTAAAATTGAGCTGTTTTGCCCTTAAAGATAAAGAACACCTGGCTATTTTTCTTAAAATTCTCTGTAGATTAAACTTTTATTATTGGTTGACTAATGTTGCTTGAAAACAAACAAGACTTTACCTTTACTTGCTACCACTTTTCCTCTCTATATTCACTGTTTCCTCAGCTTCCTGCATAAATCTCAGTGTTGATCTGTGCGATCAGAGATCACTGCATATGGCAGCAGACATCTGTGCTGTTTTGCAAGTGTTAGGATGTTTGTTCTAAACTTTATACCAGTGGGAATATTAATGCATAGAAAAAGCAGGAAAGAGAACAGTAATCTCATTAGGCTTAATTGTACCTCAAATGTTAACAGTATTAAGGGACACATTTACATTGTATTTTGATGTTTCTATAAGAAAAAATGGCTTTTTAATTTTTAATTTTTTTTTTTTTAAGATTGTATTGGGGAATTAGGGGAGGGGAACAGCGTTGGGGAATCGGGGAAGGGGAACAGACAAGTTGCTGTCCTTTTGTNTGTTCTTCAGTCTAGTTGTGGAGGATGTCGCTTCACTGGCCCATGTTGGTATTGTGATCATTGCCCTCTTCCTGGCTGAGGCAGATCGGTCGCCGGCTATCGGATGGCCACTCACAGCAGCTCACGGTAGCTCATGCCGGCTGCCGGCCGCTTATGCTGACTGCTGGCCACTCACGGTAGCTTCCGGCAGCCCACTGCAGCAGGGGCTGCAGCCTACGCCTGTGCCGGCAACTCACAGCAGCCCAGCTCCAGGTCGAGTTGTTGTTCACCATCTTAGCTGTAGAGGGCACAGTGTCACTAGCCCTCATGTGGGATCTGAACCAGGGCCCTGCTGCTCAGAGCTGGCGTCCCAAGCCAACTCTTAACCAGCGCGCCACTTGGTTGGCACGCTTTTTAATTTTTTAAGATGGAAAGTTATGTATTGGAAAACTTATCTACATTATTACTCCAAAGTTAATGTAATATTTGTTTTAGAATAGTCCCATGGCATATTTGACATCCATAAATTTGACAGTAACTCTGTGACATAATTTTGCTGGTAGTATTTTTTAGAGGTGATTTGCTAGTACATTGTGAGCCTGATTGATTGTGCAGCTTCCGCATTTCAGTGCAGTTTTGTTTTCTTTCATCCTCAAATTTATTAAGGAATGTTTTCAATCCATACTTCCCATAGTCTTGTTATTTTTTCTTTTAACTTTGAATTTTGACAATTTCAGCTTTAAGTTACAATAAATAGCACAAAGAATTTACAAATACTCTTCACCTGTATTCCCCGAATGTTGATATTTTACCATATCTGCTTTATTCTTTTCTCTTCCTCTCTTAATATATACATATTTTTTCTGTATTATTTCAAATGATAGACATATTGCACCTTATACCTAAGTACTTTTTATTGTGTATTTCCCAAAAATGACATTCTCTTTCATAACCATAGTATAATTATCAAAATCAGAGAGTTAAATGATAACTCTAAACATCAGTGTTTAGCTATAGACCTTATTCAGATTTTGCCATTTGTTCCAATTATGTCCTTATTTAGCAAAAGAGAGCCTGGAATCAGATCATGCCTTGCGTTTTAGTAATTGTATGTATCTTAGTTTCCTCTAATCTGGAACAGTTTGTTAGTCTTTTATTTCTTGACATTTTTGAAGGATACAGGTCAGTTATTTTGTAGTGTCCCTCAGTTTGGATTTGTCTGATGTTTCCTCTTGATTAAATTCAGGTTATGTACTTTAAGCAGGAACACCACAAGAGTGTTCTCAGTGCTTCAGATAGGGAGGCTGATGATATTGGTTTGCTTTATTACTTACTGGTGATGTTAACTGATCACTTGGCTAAGGTGATATCTGCCAGGTTTCTCAATGTAATAAGCCCAAGCCATCTTTTTAGTATGAAGACTAAATAAATTCTTTTGTGGTTGAAAGTATTGTAATTCACTTAGCATATTGACTCTTTAAAAGTGGGGTGAGAGTTGCCAGGCATTATAGTAGTAGTCTCACACCCTTATGTGAGGTTTCACTTTCCATGGTTTTAATTATGTGATCCGAAAATATTAAATTCCAGAAATAAACAATTCATAAGTTTTATATTGTGTGCCATTCTGAGCAGTGGGGTGAAATCTCTCGCTGTCCAGCTCCATCCTGCCCAGGACGTGAATCATCCCTTTGTCCTGTGTTTCCTGCTGTATATGCTAGCCTACCTGTTAGTCATTTAGTAGTCCTCTTGGTTATCAGATCAACTATACAGCAGTGCTTGTGTTCAACTAACCCTTATTTTACTTAATAATGGCCCAAAGCACGAGAGTAGTGGCAATCCAGATATGCCAAGAAAACTGTAAAGTGCTTCCATTTAGTGAAAAGGTTTGTATGTATAGGAAAAAACATACAGGATTCAGTACTACCTGAGGTTTCAGGCATTCACTGGGGTTTTTGGAACGGATGCCCCACAGATAAGGGGGCAGGATTACTGTAATTTTACTGGAGTATATAGTGAGAATCTCTTAATTAGGTGTAGTTGCTTTGCTTTTGGCATATGGCAACCTTTTAGATACTTGTCAGTGTATCAAATCAGAGCATTTTTTGACCTTTTAGAAACTTACATGGTGAGGAATGGGTTTGAAGAAGACCTAAAAAATTCTGACCTAGGCTATATAGTAAAATAACTCAGATCACTGCTATTTTTACAGTTTTTGGAGGCATGAAACAATTTTATCTGTCTTTGTACCCCAGTTTGGAACAGTTGCATTTAATTTCCTTAGAATTTTTTTTTTTCAACTTGATCCATACTTCCATTAGAGTAAAAAGAGGTATATGTCTTTTTTATTTAACTTTACCTGGTTATATTTTTAAAGCTGTTGTATATTAATGTTTTACTTTGTATTTAGATCTGTAAGAGATTCTGATTATAAGAACAATAAAGCAGAATTTCTTTTCTTTCTAACCTTACTTATTGTTTGGATGTCTTGAAAAGGGACTGCACAGGAATTGGTGTATTATATATATTTGGTTCTAAAGGAGAACATGCCCTTGAAAGAGGAAAATATTTGCATCTGGTTTAGCAAGTTACTTTTCCTGTTCCCTTCCCCCCACTTAAATAACCTTCTCTAATCAGATACCAGCTAGAAAGGTACCTGCTTCCTATTTTCTTATCAAAGTTTTTTTTTTAGTGACAGATCTAGCCACAAGAGACATTAAGTAAATTAGTTGTGTAGCCTCTTAGTGCCCATTCTACCTGAAAGAAAAATTTTCTCTTAATATTCCTGGCCAACAGTTTCCTTTTTATTTATTGCTTGGTTATCATTTTTATTAACAGACAGACATCTTTTTGGTGACTGGAGCAAATGTAACAGTAATCCATTTCTACAAAACACTATGTAGTACTTTTAGGCAGTTACACAACACTGCTCAAATTTCTTGCTTTGTAATGGGATCTCTTTAATTATTTAACTTCCTATGTTCTCCAAGAACTCTGCCTTTTCCTCTCTTCCATTATTTGCTTTTCATGTAAGAACCTGCAAAATATTTTTTGCTTTGGTTCCCTGAACCTAATGTTCAAAACAACTTGTAGAGAAGTTAAAATTTATAGAGGGTCACATTTAATCATTTGCACTTTGGAAAAGAAGAGCCGTCCAGTTTGGGATTAGAGAGAAAACATAAAGAATAAGGGATGAATGGTATAGTTTTACAGTAATTTGATGATTATCTTCATTCCTTAGCCACTAGCCTGATTGAATGACTGCCTTTCTCTTTACCCTTGACACACTCTCCAGTCTCGTCCCTTTTCAATGAAAATAATCCATATCCTTTGTTCTCATTTTTTAAAAACTCTAGTTAATAGTCTTTATTGTAATCTTTTCCCGCCGCTTGATAGTTCTTCAGCTTGGAGCCACTGTCAGTCAGCCTTCTCAAACATAAATTTTAGCACCCCTTCCCCCCAAAAAAGCATAAGAAAAGGTACATTAGCTGTCACTGTTTTTGCTAGTTTACATATTCAGTGGACTAGTACAATTTGCTGTTCAGCTTTAGGGAAATTAGTTTTTAATTTGGAGAAAATGTATTAATTCAGTTTTTTTTCTTTATCAGTTCATGGCTAATCTTTCCTCCACCTACTCCCTCCCCCATTATTTTGAAACAAATCCCAGATATTACAGCATTTCATCTGTAAACATTTCATGATGTATATCTAGAAGATTAAGACTTAAACCCATAACAACGAAACCACTTAAAAATTGGCAGTAATTTCTTATCATTCAAACAATATTAAAATTTCCTGTCTCAATTTTTTTTTTTTTTTGCAGTTCAGATTAGAACCCAAATAATGTTCATATTGCAGTTGTTTACTATGTTCTTGGAGCATTTTGAGAAAAGATTCCACTTTCTCTTTTTTACCCCATAACTTTATATTTTCAAGTATTACAGAAATAATACAATAATATATATTATTTCTATACCCTTGATCCAGAATCAACAACTTGCCACATTTGGTTTATTTCCACATGTGTATATATACTTTTTCCCCCTTTGCTCAATGCTTGGAAAATAAATTGTAGACATTGTGGCACTTTATTATTAAATACTTGAGCATTTTCTCCCCTAAGAACAAGGCATTCTCTTGTATAATTATAATACCATATATCATCCAAGAAATTTATGTTTTTATATTGTGTTATATAATGTGCGGTTCATATTTAGATTTCTCCATGTGTACTAATAATGTCCTTCATAGATTTGGTTTTTACATTTTAAATCTAGGATCCAGTCAGATCACACATGGCATTGATGGAATTGTTTTATATGTGAAGTATCAAATAGAGTGAGTAGCCACTGACCACAGGTTGTTATCGAGTACTTCAAATATGGCTAGTGGACTGAGGAATTGGTTTTTAAATTTTATTTAGTTAGTTTAAATAGGTGGCTACTGTATTGGACAGCACAGATTTAGAACACTTATTCTCATCTTTTAAATGTATTTTATGAAATAACTTCTTTGAAGCATTTTGGCCTGTTGTCTTGTAGAGTGTCTCTCATTCTGAATTTATTCAGTTGTTTCCTCATGATAAATTCAATTTAAATATTTTTGGCAGGACTACATAGATGTCTTTCATAGGAATGCATTATATCCTTCATAGTATTAGGCCATCAGGAAAGTCATGACGTATTTTTCTGTTTTTCAATGCAAAAATGCGTCCTGACTTTCCCGATGACCCAATACATTATAATAGGCATATCATGTCAATTAGCCCCATTTTTAGACTTCCTTTACCTTTTGAGGGTATTTGGGGGGGGGGAGCATTGGGAGAGCAAAGATAAGTAAGATATAATTTCTCGGCCATAAAAAAGAATGAAATCTTACCCTTTGCAACAACATGGATAGACTAGTAAGGTATTATGCTAATTGAAATAAGTCAGACTGAGAAAGACAAATACCATATGATCTCACTTATATGTGGAATCTAAAGAACAAAATAAATGAGCAACAACAATAAAAACAGAAACAAACTCATATACAGAGAACAAACCGATGGTTGCCAGAGGGGAGGGGGTTGGGAGTTGGGTGAAAAAGGTGAAGGGATTAAGAAGTACAAATTGGTAATTACAAAATAGTCACAGGGATGTCAAGTACAGCATAGAGAATATAGCCAGTAATGTTGCAACTACTATGTATAGTGCCAGGTGGACACTACAGACCAATCAGAGGGGATCACTGCATAAATTATATAAATGCTTAATTGCTATGCTGTTCACTTGAAACTAATATATAGTAATATTGAATGTCAACTGTAACTGAAAAAATAAATATTTTAAAAAATACTGTTTCAGATTTGCAGTTTTATGACTAGTCTGATATAGGATTTTCTAAAGGAGCAAAAATATTCTTTCAAAACTAGAAATAAAAGTATTTTATCACAAAAAAAAGATATAATCTCTTCTCATAAGGAGTTTATAATCTAGTCTGAGGGAACTACTTTTAGGCAGTGCAATATGAGACCAAATAAAATGTGTTAAAGATACTTGCTGTAGAGGAATTTAATAACGTTTATTCATGCAGTTAGTTGTCAAACCCCTGCTATATGCTGTGTTCTGGAGATACAGCAGTAAATAAGGTAGACACAGTTTTGGTCCTCATAGAGTTTAACATTTAATGGAAGAGCTAGATACTAAACAATTAGTTTTGATATGTGTCATATAAAATCTTAAGTTGTCTGTTTTGAATAATTACTTAATTACAATTTAGCTTTGGTTCAGGAGGCACTGATAAACGTTATCTTTCCCTCCTTTTCCAAGAGTCCTTTGGGATTTTGGCATGTTTATGAAATTGTGCTTTTCCCTACACAGCCAAGAAAAATACCTAATGTGCCTGATAGTGCAAATTTATTTTTATTTTTCTGTGGTACAATGGCAGTGTATGTAGACTTTTTTTGGTAAAGATAGAATGAAAATACTCTCATGGTTTCATTTAGATCTAAGCCCATAAGATATGTAATCTCTATAACTTTCGCTGCATTGATTTCAAGTTTTTTTTGAAAATGTGTCAGAAATCCACAAAAACCAAAAAGTTGATATTTTAACTATTTTATGCATTTAATTAATAACAATTTGAACTACTTTGTATATAAATGACATTTTTAATGTATAAAAATTACGGATATATTCATTTGGATATATCCAACTATTGTGGCAAAAGGGTTAATCCAAGATTTATTTAATTGGTGAATCTTTCCCTCTGAAATTGAAAACATTTGTTTCTCTTCTTACCCTAAGAGAAATTAAATACAATGGGTTGCCTCTAATCAGTGGTTTGAAAATAAAACTTTAAATTTATGCATTCTCTGGTCAGTTTATTTGCAGTTTTTCATGCAGATATTATCTTCTACCTGTATGTGTCTTTTATGTCAACTGTTGATGGGCCTATTCACACTGAGTATTGCTGTTTCTTTTTGTTTTTCACTCAGAGATATACCGCATTGTTTCCCAGAAGCAAATGTCAGACAGACGTGAAAATGACATGTCTCCAAGCAACAATGTGGTTCCTATTCATGTTCCACCAACCACTGAAAACAAGCCAAAGGTGCAATGCTGTCAGAACATATAAGGCATTTCTCTTCTCCCCTAGAAGGCTGTGTATAGTCCATTTCCCAGGTCTGAGATTTAAATATATTTGTAATTCTTGTGGTCACTTTTGTGTTTTATTACTTCCTCATACTACAGATTTTCCATGTCTTAAGTCTTGATTTTAGCTTTATAAAGTTAATCCACTTGTCCCGAATGACTGCAGCTTTTTTTCATGCTATGGCTTCACAAGCCTTAGTTTAATAAACTGAATGTTTGGATTCCTCAGTTATTGTTTACTCTTCATCGTGGAAGCCTGTCACTGTAGGACATAATAGAACTTGATCACTTGAAGCTCAGACCTGTTGGTCTTGATCAAATCAAACTAAGAAGACTTTAGAAATAAGCTATCATTTTGCCACAAAGCAGCTTATAACAAGCAGCTTATAATTCATACACTCTTCTCTCAGTGCAGTATATCCGCAAATCTAAGAATTGCCCTATAAACATAGGATTTTGAGAGCTTAAAATTTTTTCATTATTCTGGAAGTCAATTTCTAAAATGCCTTAATAGGGTTATGTAGTTTAGTAAATTTTGTTTTTTAATTTTTGTAAGCATCAAAGTTGATTCAAGAGGGGGGCACTTTTTTCTGGACAAGAATTATCTTAATAAACACAGAAGACTTACAGCTTCATTTGTGGGTGGTATGGTTATGGGGCCATATGTTAAAAATTGCTGCCCAGCAGGCTGGGAACTGGAGAGACTGGTGGAATTCCATCTGAGGTGCCTCTGTTGGAATGATCAGGCAGCCCAAGTTAATGATAAGTCATTTAAGTTTTCTAATTTCCCAGCAGTAGTTTATGTGGCATTTTATTGCTCAGGCAATAACTGGTTTAATAACTCTTAGTATCAAATTGTGAAGTGTTAATTTCATCTTAAAATCTCCCATTAAATGAAATGCAACCTAGTTTTATCACCATATCCACCAGTAGGCATGGGTAATTATTTTAATGCTGATTTTTGAGTTTTGCAGTACATTATGGAATATAGTCCAGTTAAATATCAGGTTTCAGTATGTCAAAAGAATACAGTGAGAGGTTCATTTCTGCTCAAGTGGTACCACTTAAAGGCATGTATTCTTTTAGTACTTAAGATGAAATAGTACCTTGAGTTTAAATAGAATGCATTTAGGCCACTATACAGACCTGAAATAGTTTTCTTCCACTACATTATTGAAATCAGTGGAGCAACTAGTTTCTCATTCAGAAGTGTGCACACTAATATTTAGTTTTACTTTCTTGTGGATAATATTAAGCACTTACTCTGCAGTGTTCTGAAAGTTGTGTCAACTGAAGTGATACTATTCAGGATGGTGGAATGTCCCCAAAATGTGTATGTGTGGGCTTGCATAGATTACTATGTTTCATAGTTAATCTTCTGTCTTTCATGCGATGCTCATGACGTGTGGGGCGCACTGAAGGCATTGCTCTGGTCAGTCTTTCGGTTTGCCTCTGTAGCCATTTTATTATTTTAGTGTATTGGTATGAAGATACTATTATCTATTTGTAAATTGCTACTTTGTATTTTATGCATGCTCTGTAACTTGACTTTTTTTTAGTTACTGATTTGGAATATATTTGCATTCTAATAAACAGTTATAGGGGGGACTATTCTTTATTTTGTCAGATTACATTTTCCCTTTGAGAGCTTTGGATGCAGCCATGGAATATTTGATTCTAACGAATGAGAGTGTATAGGTCCTTATATTCTAGAGTAAACATTAAATTGGAGGCACCATTGTGTGAATTCAGCTTTGATTTTTAGACATGTACTTCAATTATGCTTTTCTTAGAAAGAGTATTACCAAAAATATAAGGGAAGTAATTAATCTCAGTACTTTCGTACATAACAGTGTCACCAGACCCAGGAAGAGGCTCCATCACTACTTATTTTACTGAAAATTGGTAGTAAGTGTTTTTTACACAATTTAATTTCAGAGGAGAAACTTAAGTAGTGAATTGAAAAGGAATGAAGTAACTGAATTTTTACCAAGTATAAACTTAAGTTGCCTTGGGCATGGTTGGATCTTGGGAACATTCCAAGAAACAGGTAGTAGTAGAAAAATGGCTTTGATTGCATTTCAACAAATGTCTTAATTCTGAATATCTGAGGAGACAAACGGTCTCAAGAAACATTAAGTTTTAAAATAATATGATAATTTAGGGCTCAAGGCAGTTTATTAGAAATATTTTGCTGCTTGACCTTGCTTTTCAGTTATTTTAACTTTGAATATATATATATATATATTTTTAACCTATTCTCCTGAATAGTCATTTAGCCATTTTGCCTTGATTTAAACTTGTATGTGAATGTTCTTAAGTGCTATCTGTGATTTTTCTCTAATAGTAGTTGTTACTCTGTAAGGGGTAAGTTTTCTAATTTAGCCATTACATTGAATATGCTAAATTCTAATTCTAAGAAGGGGTGTTTGTTAGCTGGTGACTAATGCCAGAGGTCTTTTAAGTTCTGAAGGGTTCTGCAGAAAAGTTAAGACTTAAGAGTTTGGATTGCTATCAGAGCTAGTCATATTTATTTCATCATTGGGGAAAATGAACATCTTAATTTTTGTCTTTAGTGACTTGTATTGACAAAATACAAACACTTTTCAATGGTTTGGGCTATTGTGATAATCTCCTCCATCTACCTTAAAGAGATAAAACTACTACTTAAACAATTTTGGCCAATACCAGAAGCAGAATAATTCAAAGGCTGGGTGGATATTTATAAACTTCTTCCAGCCTGTTAGGTTTCAGTTTATGGACTTTTCTTTTTTTAATGGAGGAGAAAAATGGGTATTGTTTACTTGATGTTTCACAAACATAAGCCTGAAAAAAATTTTCAAAACAAAATATGTATGAATTTTGTGTAAGGACTGTGCATGACATCCATTCTCAGTTTGAAAAAAAAATGAATGAAGGCAATGAAAGGATCTACATCATTTAATGGGTTAGCATAACAGCCAGACTAGTGCTAAAGAGAAGAGGACTGTTTTTGTTCTCCTGGCTGGGGCTGTGCAGGTGCCATACCCTCTTCTGGAATTTGACAGGCCACCTTTTCCATTCACCTATACAATGTGCCAAAAAAACCTGTGTTTTCATTCTGAAGTTTTAAAGAATGGTTGTGTTTCCCCAAACTGTAGAGGCTGGTGGTAACAATAAAGTAATACCAAATGTTATTGTCATTAAGGGAGACCAATAGTCTGAGAGATAATTTTAAGTGAAGTATCCATTTCTCTGAAAATTGAATTGGGAGATAAAGGAATATTTGAAAGGACCTTGGTACTAGGCATGTATTAGAAAATATGCAAACTCTGTGAGTTAAAAGATAGAAAGTGGCAGGTATAATGGAGCACTGGACTGGGTGACAGACTTGGGTTCTAGTCACAGCTCTTCTAGTCATTTTATTTCTGAGTCTCACCTTTCAGTTAATGAGGGGACCTGGGACTGGATTAGATCATTTCTGGGGTTCATCCCAGCTCTAATTCAGTAATTCTATGAATGAACTCTTCAGGTACTAGAGCCAAATTATTATACACTCTACTTCAAATATAATAGATAAGTAAAAATCAAGTGTACACTTTGCAAAATGTTTTTGACCTTATAATAGAATGATATCCTTATTTCCACTAGAATGTTATCTTTATTTGCATGTTAACTCCATTAAAGAAGATGAAAGCTTTCATATTATTTGCAAAATGACTTTCAATTTCAACAATTTGCGACAAAGTACCATATATGTGCTAAGGGGGAGGAGCACTTGATGGGCTGCTATGTCAACTGTAAATTGAGAACTGCTTGTTTTTTGACTCCTGTTAAAATTTTGCTGGCTTTTAATACACACTTTAAAATATATTCATGTCTGGGAGAGAACTTTTAAAAACATTTTGCGTTTTAATTTTTTTTATTGTGTCTAATAGGACTCTATAATACAAGAAGGTACACTACTAATCTGCAGAGCTAGCAGTGCAATAGAACCATTGATTAAATCCAAGCACATAGGTTTATGTGTGTACTGATGATACTAAATGGCATCCTTTGGCTGTTAGCATAGTAATTAATAATTAGTAGTCTAAACATTTGAATTCAGTTATTAAACATTATTAAGTATAGAATGGGTAGGTCCTGGCAGATGTCATGTGTATTGGCTGTTAACTACTCTGTTACCAGTACCAGTGATAGTAGTGAAAATTAGTAGGCCAACAGGATTTCTTTTCCTGTGTTTGGGTCAGTGGATGATAACATTGCCCCATCACAAAATCTCAGATCTCGTTATCCCCATCCCAAGGAATAAATGTATTGCTTTTAGCACCCATTCCCCTACTGAAAACCTCGTCTCTCAGCATACCATTTTCTCAGATCCCTTTAGGGAAGTGGTTCCTTATCTTTAAGAAGTTGCTGACTTGTACTAGCCTCCATGCCCAAAGCATTCCATCTTGTGGGCCTGAGAATATTATAGAAGGTCATGCCTGAAACGGGACAATCTGGGAAGCTCCAGGAAGCAACATTTTATGTAGGCTTTGTTTGATAGGAAGCCAATTCTGGAGGAGGTTACTGGTTTTGGTTTACATTTAAGTGGATGCCTAAGTAACAGTACTTTGTAAGATCTCAGGTCCCCATGTTTTCTCTTACCCAGGGCTCTGGAGGGTCATCTGCTGGGCTGGACAATGGCATGGGAGGCAGAAGCTAGAATGAGGAAGGAATGTGAGACCAGAGCTTTACCTTCTGTGGGTTTGGACCACTACTCAGTCTTTCTAGCTCTGCAAGTCAGGGAAGAAAATGTATAATCAGCACTCACTAATCACTAGGCCCTTCCATTTATTCCTGCCCTTTTGAAATTGCTACATTGTAAGATCCACAAGGACAAGGGAATGTGCTTTGTTCTTATTTACATTCCTGCTATCTAACCACCCTACAACCAAACCCATGTCAGAATAAGGACCATCTAAAAGAGAGGGGGCTAACCCTAGGGTTCATTCTAGTTTGGTTTGGGGTGCTATTGTCTGAGAATTATTCAGGTTAATAAATTTTTTTCATTAAAAGTTGCATAAATTATAATTTTAATAAATTATAAAATTAAAAGTAATAGTATAATGAATCCCTATGTATCCATCCATCCCTTCTAAGAAAGATTTTCCATTTCCCCTCTTGCCACCTACTAATTAAATGGGCCTCTTCTGTCTTCCCTTTGGTTAGATGAATGGCTAATAGAATGTGTATCATTCTTGAATCTTCTGTATTGAGTTCACAACCTGCAGCCTTTGGTTATCATTTATGGTACTGGGTAGTATTCTGAGCCTTCTAAGTCATAATCTGACACTATTATTCTTGGTAAGTACCTTTTTTAGCCTTATAACTCTTGATTATGTTTCATCTTTCACTAGGATGTCAAGCTCCAGCCCTTGAGAATTATCTGTTGGTAGGAGGATTTTTTCTGACTTTAGTCTCTTAATCTCTAACTAGCAAAAATGTATTCTTGGTTAAACATTTTATTAAATGGGAGTAACTTTTGAGAATCACCTAAGCCTTGTGAACTGACAAGTTGAAAGGTTTTAATTTGACTTAAACATGAGGATTATGTACAAACCTTTGAAAGTATGAAGGAGAAATTTTAAACTTACACCATTGAATGCATTCAGTAAGCTATTTTTTAGCATCTGTATTTTACAACAAAATTAATCCTGCTGTTTCTGTACAAGTTAGGTCACAAGGTTATGTTTTTTTAAAAGGTCCTAAAAACAGGTTCACCCAGGGTACTGTACTGGGTAATGACTTCTACTATCGGAAAGCTATTCATTGCATTTATGCAAATTAGGTGGCCCTTAGACTTGCCTTATTCCATTCCACAGAACTACCTTTGTGTCTCTCAAGCTGAGCACAAGCTGTAATAGTTGTCTTTGAGTCCAAATCTTTGTGAAAGCAGAGAAATTGTCTATATGAGTATACTGATGTTTATGAGATTTTTCAATAATTTTTGGACATGAGTTGAATATGTTGCTTCACTACTTTAAAGGAAGAGACTCTTGTTCTAAATTTGATAGGACTTTTTCACTTTATTTTCAAGCATTTATTGGGATAATTTTCACTTCCCTGGCCGTCTAAAGTGACCACACAAAACGTAGGTTAGTTCTATATGTGGTCACTTTACTCCTTAAATCTAAATGGTAGATTATAGACACATCTTTGGTTTGCAACACAACAGTAGGCATTCCCATAAATTAGTTTGAGAAATTAATTTATTTTGTACAAGGTGTGATCCCTCTGCACAGTGAACAAATATATTACAAATCTGGATTGTTTAAAAAAAGTATTGCCATTTCATAGTGTCAATGCTATTGTACAATAATTGTTTTCTTTATTCATTTCAATCATACACATCACTTTGGGTGAGAACTTAGTTTCTGTAAAATAGTTGAACAGATCTTTCCAAGTTGCCAATAAAATGCACAGTGCACATGTTTAGGTTGACCATGACCCTACTTGTGACAGTGCTAGACAGAAGTTCCTAACAGTTGCTCTGTAAATTGAAATGTCTTTTACCAGTAACTCTTAGATATGTGAAGACAGCTGTTGTTACCATAGATCAATCACACCCTCTGTCTTTCCCTTTTCCTGTAATGTCTGATTTGATTTGTGATACATTTGTTTAAACAGAATGCTAGAGCTGAAGAGTTGTTAGGTTTCCCTTATGCATCTTTGCGTCTCCCTTTTTGACACACGGGGGAAAAAAGGAGCCCAGAGAGGGCAAGTAACACTCAGCTCTCTTGACCCAGTGCTTTAGCAATTGCACCCTGCCACCTCTTGTTGAATTTTGCCCAGAAGATAGTTGGCAAAAAAAAGAGGTGAAACTTGAAACTTGAGTGATGCTGCTTGTTTGCAGTTTGCCAGGCAGCTGTTACTGTACATGCAGGGTAAGGGGAGAAGATAAAACCTGGGATTGAGATGAAGTTTCTCCTTGCTGATCTGACTTTGCCATGATTCTTGATCTTTGCTTCACAAAGATAATTGAGTACTTGCTGCCCTGAAATACTGAGGTAAGTCTCTTATTTGTATTTCTTTCTACATATGTATGAGAAATATTTACTTGGGTCTACAGAGTAATTTTCTAGTATTTATATTTTAACAAGGCTTTTTTGGAAAGTAAATTTGCTATCGCTGATCACTTGCTCCCATGCACACATGCAGCATTCATGTAAGTATTAGATATTTTCCCCATAACAACATTTGCTTAAGCCTTCAGTGAAGTGGGGGAGGGATTGTACTTGTTTTTTTTTTTTCCTGCTTTTGCTGGTTATTGCCCAAACTAATGGGTTCCATGGCAGACTTCCAATTTGTATCAAGGGCTTCAGAACTCCCACACTTCCTGTAGCAGCTATTCCAACTTTGCAGTCATTTAGATCCTCTTCTGTATACCTTTTTGGAAATTTTACTGACTGGACTGTTACCAGAGAATGGAGTGGTATAGGGGTGCCATTAGTTTCCTTGGTTTGCCCTTTTGGTCTTTAATTTTCATGAGGAGGCCCTCTTTAGGGCTTGGGAATTGGCCCATTTTTTACTCATCTGAGTCCCAGTTTACCTATGTTTAATGGTAGGTGACACATCTGAATACTGGGATCCGGAGCATTAGTTCATTGTAATTTAGTTTTGGCCATCTCGGTGGGTGGTGATTTTAAGATAGAAGGTAGAAGTACTTCATATCCTCATATGATGTTAACTATAAAGTTTTTAACGTAGCAACCGATTACAGTCCATTCTTTCTTTGGTCATTTCAACTTCCATCAAAAAACATAATGTACATTAAGCAGTTTAAACTTGCTATATCCACTTTTGTCTAATTATTACACCAAGCTCAAGATTTATGAAGAAATGCTTGAAAAGCAAGTACTTCTCTGAGTCCAGGAATGCCAACCAAATAAATTTGGGAGGCCAAACAGCCACTTTTAGGGACACGTAATTCTTATCAGTCTGACAACTTGCTTAAAGCACCATCTCAGAGTTCTGTTTCCCCTGGAATGACTCAGGTGTTGGGTGGACAAGGCCAGGACTGACTTGCAGTGTTCTGGAATTTGAACTGGCCTAGAAATATTGTCATAGACTGAAAGAGGCTGCTGCGCTTTGGAAACCTTTTTTCCTACTACCAGCAGGGCAGAAGAGGGGAAAGTTAATTTGTATTTATTAAAGTCTTATTTTTAAAAATTAAAGTTGTCAGCATTCGACTATATACTAACTCTGCAGTCTTGGCCATTGTAATTTGATGGACCAGACATGTATAGGTACTTTAGGATTGATATTAGCACAGTTTGTGTCTATGTACTAATTAGGTAGTCAAACATGTTGATGGTAACAGTGGCCAAAAGTACATCTGTACTATTTCAAGTGTTTTACAGTAATCCTCTCCCCTCCCTGGTCCCCGTTTCCCCCTAGGAATGTTTGTAAAACCTATTCTACATGCTTTCTAAGCATTATGTTTCAGATAATTAAATATATAAATAAATATATTGAGCTATATTTAGCTGATGTTGATGAGTAGCTGTATCCTAAATGTTTTAAAAGATCATATAATCCAGGGATTTGGGGTTTGGGGTGGGTGAGTGATAGGATTTGCCTTTGCAAACAGACCTTTTGAACAATTACTCCAGTCCCACTTGGAAGCTCTTCTTTAGTTCCAGGTGAAAGTAATAACTAACACGCAGCTGGAGTCAGTCTGTACCATTATTTCAAGTCAAGGGATTGTCTTCTTTCAGAGAGTCAGAGAATATTCAGCAGAGCACATTGCAAGAGAGAAGCTTATCCCTGTTAAGACTGCTTGTCCTGGGAAGGCCCATTGGCAGGGCTCTGTCTTACAGGGAGGAGGTCATAATGACCAGGAATATGGCTGTTCCTAGGTAGATCGTATGGATTCTGGATATAGCTGGAGTTATGACCGCGGCCTTCTTGGACCACACTGACTGTGGGCTCTAAGGAATATAGTGAAAAACGAGTTCAGAGAACAGATTAGCTTCGGTTGCCTTGTTGGAGGGAAGAGAGTTCTATTTAACTGGGTGGGGGCACAGTAGCCAGGGGTTATAAATCTGTGATAAATGTATGAGGGTTAGGACTGAGACTTGCTCACAAGATGTAAAGCCTAAGTGAGTGTACTGTCAGAATCCCAAGCTCTGGTCAAAACCAAGAGATTTTGAATATCGTAGAGGTTAGGGGTCTTATCAGTGAGCCCAGGGACATGGGTTAAACTGGGAGAAAGTTGAAGGTGATTGAGGAAGTTAATGTCTGTTCTGATTGTTTTTTTTTAAACTGGGATTCCTATCAACTATTGGTTGAAGTGTATGTGTGTGTGTACCCACTCCCCACTTCCTCAGTATTACTGCTTCATACTAGTCCTGGTGTTTTTTTAAAGCAGAGTTGGCCCAAGAATTTGATGCATGAGAGGGAAGGGCAGTCCTGGGAAAGACAGTTCACCTTGAATCCCTTAAAAAGCAACAAAAGAAGGGTGTGTTTTCAAGACAGGGTGAGTGGAGAGGGATTGTTTTTACTTCAGATGCTAACTATTATCCTAATTTTGCTAAGTTACTTATTTGAGACACCTACCAACTTCATATATATTTTTATTAGATGTCGACAAGGATGGCACATCTGTGTACGGAGACCCCCTGTGCACAGGCGACTTCATTTCTACATAGCTGCTTTCTGGAAGCTTGCAGGTGAGGATGGGTGGGTCCTTTATTGTGGCGTAAGGATTTTCACTGCTATTCAAGGAACAAGTGCTAGAACTGTACACGGATTCTTTCATGTAATCTGCAAGGCAAGAGAAATTTCTTAGGACAAGCAAGGACATAAGACTTAATTTAAATACCAGAAGCAGACTGCAGTGGAGTTCATGTGCTTTCAGGATCCTGGAGCTGTAAAAGCCTGTGATAGTCCAAGATTTACTTATTAAACATGTTGAATGCTTTCCTAGGTAGGCAGAGTTCTTTTTCTAAAGAAACTTGTTTTTGGAGAGATAGGACCATTTTTGTTAGTAGTCAGATATAGCACAAGAAAGAGATTAATTCAACATACTCAAAATGTGCTTTCACATGTATTATTTAATTTTTACAAAATCCTGCAAGGATAGTTGGTAGTTTGCATTTTGTAGGATGAAGGCCCAGAATGCATTTTAATGGGATGAAGGCCCAGAGAGATGAAATGACTTGGCTAAGGACATACAGCTCATACTTGGCAGTGCCAAGACTTGAATCTGTGCCTTGGGACTCTGTAGCCCGTGCATTTTCTGTGATATTCTCCTGAATTCTTTTTGATATCAGAAGTAGATGTGTGTGTTGGTTGGTACAGGTGTCAGCAATTTGGCAATCTCATGGCAGCAAACTGGCTGCATCCTGCTCCAGAAGCTCGTGCTTAGAGGTGGGGCAGAGAGAGGTGTAGAGTTGTCAAAAGCACCTTGGTCTCAAGCTAGCCTTTGGAAAGTTCCTGTTTTCTAGCAAGCCTGCAATGCATCCTCTGGGATCATTTACCATAGTTCTCATGAATGCTAAATGAAGCCTATTTTAGTAGTAACGTTTTTTGATACTAGGAGAACTTATGCTTCCTCTCCTGCCACCTCTCAGGCATGCAAAGTCCCCAAGACTTCAGGGCATGTTAGGAGGGTACAAAAGGATGCAAACTAGTTTCCAAATATGAACCGAGGTAACTAGCTCTACTGGAGGAAGAAAGTTCTTTTTGTGACTGGGAGTCACAGGAGGAAAGAGTAGCACTTCCTTCCACCGCTACACCATTCCCCTTTTGGAGAAGATCTCACTGCCTTCTGTAGGTTGTCCCAAGTGAGTCAGGACTTCATTACTCTTACTCTAGGTAATCTGGCAGCTGTAGCCTCATCTGTCTGTGAGGCTCTGCCAGCTAGGGGGTTGCAGGGGCTTGGTAGTCAAGAGTGATCTAAGAGGCGTCAGCTCTAAATTTCTACAAGTGGTAGCAGATGATGATATTCTTGGATGATCTTTCAACTAGAATCATCACAAATTACATTTTGGGCTGCTGTTTATGCTTCCAGCCTTCAACTTGAGATGAATGGAAAAGTAAAAAAGTGAAAGTGATAATGTAAGTCAAGGGGTAACTAGATGTACCTTGGTCCAGTGAGAGCAGAACACCCCATGTGGCTGAAGTAGTTGAGATGTGTCAGTCACAAGTAGTCTTTTCTCCCCTCACAGGTGACTGGGAGGGCATTTACTTTTCTGTTACTAGTGTAGAATTATTGATGTCTGTTTCAGCAGGTAACATTTCCTCAATCTTGTACAAAAGTACATTGCCTCATTAGTTCCTTCAAGTGTTCACAACACCCTGTGGCGTAGGTAGAGCACTAATATTCTCCCCTTCCTCTTTATTGCTTATGAGGAACTTGAGGCTTAGAGTGGGGAAGTGACTTCCCCAGGGTCACACTGCTTATCAATAGCAAAGCAAGCTCTAGAACCAGGCTCAAGCACTTTCCATCACAACTTAGCCCATGGTGGAGAGGGATATTGGCTTGGTCCCCTCTTAGACTGTGGCCTCTTTATAGCATAGAGCCCTGGAGAGGAGAAAATATTTGTGCTAGATAATGAGCAGTCCCTGCCAGCCCTAGCAAGGACTGAAAGGGGGGCTAGATCATCCCAGCTGCTGGTGAGGCTCACATGGGGAAAGGTGGCTGCGGGTCCAGGGTCATAACCTACCTGATCCACATACATTTGCCTCTAGTGAGTACTCTGTTTCTTTGAACTAGGGAGTGGGGATAAGTCCAGGAACCCTAGTAGCATGGCTCATTGGTCCCACTTTGGGTGTTCCAAACGTAATCAGCCAGGGAGTAAGGAAATATGACTCAACTGCTTATTTGAAAGCTGAGGACTGGAATTGCTTGAAGAAGGGCCGTTTCCTGAGTGAGAAGTCTCCTAACACCTCTCCCCACCTCCTGTCCCAGACACATCCTTTGATTGGCAGCTGTCTCAGTTTCTTATTTTCTAAAACTTAAGGAACACTGATAGGTCACTTTGTGTGGCACCCATAGCTAGTCTTTCAAGTTAGGTCATGAAACTTGTGACATCTGTGAAGGAGGCAGGAAGGACTAGTATTACCTCTTTAGAAATGAGGAAACTGAAGCTCATAAAATTTGCTTAATGTTAGTTAAGTACTCATAGTTAAGACTCAACCTCTGTCTTCTGATATCCCATCAAGGTGTTTTTCCCTTACATCTTGTTCCCCATGCTCCTTTCCTGTATATATAAATGTAAACTATATCTGCAACAGCTTCCCCTAACTCTTAACAAGGAACACCTTTTATCTATGGGGCCAAGCCCTGCTGAGAGAGAAAGGCAAAGCTTTTAAGCTTTTTGTGGGTATCCCATGACTGATTCAGTTATGGCCGTGGGAGAACCTTGAAGCTCTAATCAGTGCCTAAAAGAGCCTCAGCTAGCCAATAGTGCCCCTTTTCTCTTTTCCACCAGAAAAGTCAGGGCCCCTTCCAACTTGGGGGGAATAAATTGTTAGCTCTGCAGCAGGGGATGCACCTAAATGGATAAAAGAAGTTGGGATTGTAGGGGAGGGGATAAGTCTCAGGGAGAAGCTGTATCTTTCATAAAGGGGCCAGTAGTAAAGACAAAGGATGGAGGAGTGTGTATTGAGATGGTGAGTGGAGGGTATTGAATTATGGAATAATCTGGACTCTATTTCTGAGAACTGGAATTTGGGGAAGGGCTAGGAAAGCCGGAAAACTCCACTTCAGGGAGCTATTCTTTTCTCCAGCTGAGTCATCTACCTGCCTGCCCAGAGGGAGAGAGGGCGTGGTAAGAGGAAGAATAACCAGCTGCTCTAAGATACTTCCTCATTCTTTTAGAGCTCCACTCTACCCCCCATGCCAGTCCCTGTACTTCAGGGCATTTTGCAAAGGAAGGGGAAGCATCCACCAAGCTCTGGGGAGTCACTCCTCCAAGGCCTGTAATTAGCATCAGCACTAAAGGCTTAGCCCTATAATGCCCTGCCATTTGCTCTCATCTAGTTTCTACCTCCCCAAAATCTCACATAGCCATATACTATCAGAGGCAGAAGGGGCCTCTGAAATGAGCCTAATATAAACATCTTCATTTTGAAAAAGGAAGCAGCAAATCCAAAGGGGGAGGTGACTTTCCCAGGCCATCTTGACCCAGGCCTTAGGCTCACACTAACATCTGCAATAGTTAAGGCCAATATTTCACTGTTGGGGAAAACCCAGGCACTGAACATCCATCTTGCTTCTCAGCTGACTATTCATTAGAAGGCTACACCGCCTTCTCTCTTTCTGGGTCCTAAGTGAGCATCCTTCTCTTGATTGAGAGAGAAGGCTATGTGGAGAGGAAAGGGGAGATCTCAGAAGGAGAACCACATTAGCTGAAAAAAGCTTTCAGGTTGTCAGTGGACCCCAAACTACCTTGGAACCCAAGGCGACTACAGGAAGAGACTTGGTTAGATTCCCAAGGGGCTTACAGGCGGAGAAAGTGGAAGCAACAGTGAGATCCAGCATTTCAGGATCATACAGGTGATGGCGAGTATGGGGGAGGATTTCTTCTACAGCAGTTTGAAATGCCTGACAGACAAGGAACTGAACATGAGGCAGCTGTAGAATCACTGTGCTGAGGGGGAGAAGGAAAAGGGGTGACAAAGGTGTTTAAGGGATAAAATGAGGTTAGCACAACAGTGTGGTGGTCTCACATGACCTCCAGGATGAAGGTGAGTGGAGGGCTTCAGTAAGTAATGGGAGAGAGGCAGCACTGAGTGAATTAATGACTTTTAGAATGTCAAAGCTGGAAAGGGCCTCAGATGGTGATAGTACCACCCTGTCCTAGTAGAGGAAGAAACCTACACCCAGAAAACAACACTGACCTAGTCGGTGCCACACAGCAAGAACTAGACTGGAACCCACATCTTGTAACTCCCAGGCCAGCGCTCTTTCCCATTGAGTTCAGAGACACTTAGACTTTTGACTCCTAGCAGCTTTGATTTGATCTAGCCCACTGGTTTTAGGAAATAATTTCATTCCTGGTACAAACTAGTTTCTTAAGTGTTTATTTGGGAGTTGAGCCAGTTAGTGGGGTTTACTCCTTGTCATTGATAAGTACCTCTGTAAAGTTTTGAACTGTGACATTCCATTTTCCTCATTTTGAATTCTTGTTCTGATGTGTTGGTCCCCAGCACCTACTGGCACGTCTGCCTGCATAGCCCGCTTTCCTCTCTAATGGATGACTGCAGCCAGGGTGGTGAAACAGTCTGCACCCAGGCCCCACTATCTGTATGGTCCCACGAGACAGGAAGGAATGGTGCCGAGGCAGACAGTGCTCTGCTTAGCTTGGTTTCACATTTGTGGTTGCCAGTCTGAAAGGAGCTACTGTAATCAGTGTGCAGGACAATGAAGTGCGTGGGAAAGTTGTGTGCTCATGTACTGACGTGTCTGCGCCTGTCTGAGCTTATTTACGACTGAGTCATGCATATTCTCAGAGCTGGAAAAGCCCTTAACTGTGTTTTCTGCCCAATCCTCACACCTCTGAGAAAGAAACTGAGCCCCAGGTCACAGAACTAAAACAGTAGAGCTGTTTGTTGTTCCTGTATCTAGCCTTACTTGCTGTAATGGTGCTTGCCTTCTTTGGATGGTTTAGGTCAGGGGCTGGCAAACTTTTGAGATGGAAGAGCCAATCCTGTCCCTTACAACAATTTAAAAATTATTCGAGAGCCATAAAACAAATGAAATCACCATTATATGAATAATATCCTTTAAAAATTTTACAAATGAAACTATGATAGCTTTATTTTTCATTTTTAATTTTACTTTAGAGCCACATGTACATACCCAAAGAGCCGCATGTGGCTCGCGAGCCGCAGTTTACCGACCCCTGGTTTAGGTCAAAACTCACAGAAAATTGCCAGAATGAGGCCCCCAAGGGAGCAGTGTCCTTGGGCTGGCTAGGAGCTTAGGGCAACCTCTTGTCCTCAGATGGTTCTCTTGAGCAGTATGTATCCTAACACGTGCTGATGGAGACTTGTCCTTCCTGTTCTCTTGCTCAGAACACAGTTCTCATGACCATCACCTGCCCCTAGTTCACCCCATGTCTAACAGCCACCCCACCAAGAACTGTAGACCACTAGCTCTCCTTGGTAGGAAATGGTTGTGTCTAGGATGTGTCCAAGGTAGAGTCGGAAAGACCAGAACAGTAATCCGGGAAATCTGGGTCAGTCTAGACTAGAGGTTCTCAGTGGTAGTTGGGTGATATGCTACAACAACTACCCTAAGGTACTCTGCACAGATGTACATTCTAGGGCCCCACTCTAGATCTACAGTATGAGAATCTTGGGGAGATAAAAACCTGTGTTTTTATCAAGCTTTCCAGGTGATTCTGGTGCACAGCTAGATTTAGGATATCTATTGGGACCTCTGCTTTCAGTCATCTCTTACTCAGTTTGGGGGAGACTCTTAAATAGACCTCAGACAAAAGAACAAAATAACAGCCCTATTACATGGGTACAATCCTTTACAATATGCAAAAACATTTTCCATCTGGGATTTTATTGAATGCTTATGACAACCTTGTTAGATAATAACAGGACAGGCATAATTATCTCAGCCTTGCAGACGAGGAAAGTGGGCCGTGGAGAGCTCACAGTCTAAAGTCACAGTTAATAAGTGACAGAGTAGTAAATGACAGCTTGAAAGCCATCTATTTCACACATTCTGTCATTTAAACCTAGGGCCTAAGCCCAGGACCAGGACCTGCCCTTTCACCTTGGTTCCCTTGTAGACTTCCTAGAAGGCTGATCTCACTTGCAGTTCCCATGTGTTGGGATTATTTCTGGGTTCCCTGCTCTCAGGGGGCAGAGATCTCTAGGGTGGAGTGCCATACAATATTAGGGTATCGTTTTCATTCTTTGTGCCCTAGAAAGCCAGCAGGTGTAGGGTGGCATTCCTTACCAGTGCAATGACAGGAGGCCTCTGGGGCAGGTAGATTGACTTTATTTCAGATTTTTTAATCAATTTAACTCATACTAATTGGTTGGATAATGACGTTCTCCATTTCCGAAGACATTTAGTTGGCATCTATAAAAAACCCTCAGTGTTTGTTAAGCAGGTGCAACTGAAATTGAAAGATGAATCCAGTATTATTATGGTTGCTCCTCCTGGGCAGAGCTACCCAGCAGCCCCAGGTCCTGTGGTCTTTTAACTTTTTGCGGGAGGTGGGGGTGGGGAAGAGAGACACAGTTTCTCTCTGGTAGAATTCCTGGCCATTTCAGGTCCACACTCTTTATCTTGCTAAGCCCTTTCTAATGGGATGTCAGGATTGGATACTCTACCTTTGAAGCCTTTGTCCATAATGTATGTGTTTTGACGTCTATCCATTCCACAAGCACCTGCAGAAAGATAGCATAAGAAAAAAATATGGGGGTGAGTGAGGTTTACTTAGACTGCATGTGTTGTTGGCTTTATTTTTTTCTTTTTCTTTCTCCCCTACCCAGAAAATAAATAGTTCTTTAGTGCTAGAAAATTATTCTGGGTTTCATTTACTCTATCTAAATCATTCTGACCATACAGGAATTTTTAAAAGGCTCATGAGCATTAACGGTGATCTACAGCGCCCCCTGGCGTGTTCAGCAGTCTTCCTCTTTAGCCTGCACTTTAAGGGGAATGTATTTCAGGTGATCAAAGGCAGTTCTGATGCCACCTGCAGTCATTATAGGTGAAGTTCAGGCTGCAAAAGTACACGATAAGGAATAGTCAGAGCCAGTTCTGAGCTTGGGGGAAGGGTACATGACATTCCAAATCCTAGTTGTTGTATTTTAGTCTCGGGTTAAAGACTCTTTACTTCTCACCTCTGATCCCGCCCCCCCTCTTCCGGATCTGAAGCTCCACTGCTGGGACCCAGAGAGGGAGGTGGACAGGTGGCTGAGGTTCTTGATTAATCTTTATAGGATGTACAGTCATTCCCATTCCTTTGGGTGGACTGTTTGCACCTAACTGAGAGCTGTCTTGATAAAGTATTACCAATGTTCTTCAATCCCAAGGATTTTTCTCCCTTTTGGCTCCCGGTTTAACCTAGGCTCCCACAGCGATGGCGCTGAGCTCCAGCCGTAGGCATGACGTACAGGTTCCAGGACCGAGCTCAGGTGCATTGCTGCTGTTGATCCCAGAAGAGAAATTGTCTGGCTTGTTTAAGGTTGGGACAGAATGACACTGGCTCAGAGTCAAAGCCGTTCTATTATCAGCTTTTAACTGAGGATACAATACCAGGCAAGGCCTGAACAAGTGCTCACTAAAGTACAGTTTGGCTCCACGTGACTCTCATCAGTTTCTGACCAACCCATTGCTGTTTGGATACTTGTCCATACCTCCTCCACACAGAGTCCCCAAGTTTAATTAGCCGGAGTCTACGCCTATCTGCTTGCTTTCCACACATTTCTGAAAGATAGGGCAGAACCAGGCCTGATTTCTCAAGTTTGCTATTTTTCTACCAATAGGTACCTGTGCCCTTTAGAAACATGACTGCAACAATCTGCATCCCTGCAGATTCAACCCTTTATACCAGACAAGGGCTTCCTTTGCCCTCCCTGAGGGAAGGAGGCTGGGCTGCTAACTTGTCCCCTTTTCATAGAACAGGAAACAGAGGCCCAAAGAGGGGCAGTGACTTCCCTGAGACCACACTAGCAAGCGAGACGTTGAGTTGCAACTAGAGCCCAGATTTCCCCAAATATTTTTCCCATTGGCCACCAGCCTGTCTGAGTGTAAGCCAAAAGCTGTGTGGTGACTGTGGCTACATTGGTGGAAGACTGAGAGCTCAGAGCAGAGAGAAATCTGGGCTGAGCCCCGAGGATGCTCCCATGTGGAAAGAGATAACAGGCTGGTGGCAGTGTGTGTCTGTATGTGTGCGGGGGGTTGTATTTGGTGGGGTTATTGAATGCCCTGGATACAGCCCAGGGACCCCATAGCCAAGAGCACAGCCTCCTGGGTACAGGCCCGGGGTCTTTGCCGTCCATGCCTACTCAGCCAGCAGATGAATTTAGAATCTTCACTTTTGTTAGTATTATTGGACCTCGGGACCCACAGGGGTTAGTACAGCTGCCTTTCCTTTGAGTTCCAGAAACCAGCTAGAGCCCAGGTTGTCCAATGTGCTAAGGTCCTGCCCTAAAGGGGCTGTTTGTAGGGAGGTCACATTCTCTGTTCATTCATAGCACTCACTGTGGTGCGTCCTGTAACTCCCACCCACATCCTCCCATTACAGGACTGATTTTCCAAGTCTCCTTTTGGCATCTTGCCCAGGCCACCAAGTTTGAACCTGATACATGAGCACAGAGAACGTTGGTTGACACATCCTGCCCCAATCTCTTCAGATCCCTGCTCAACAACCCCACCCGAGGATCAGTGAGAGTTTGGTCTGGGCCACAGGTGGGTCTGGGGTCTTTATCTGGGGGACGCTGGGCTTTCTGGCCAGAGAGCCAATTGCTTGTCATCCACACCCACAAGGGCCCAGAGACCCCCCAAGGTGTTGCCGTCCCCAGGTCATTTCTCAGTGGTTTGGGATTGTATGCTGTGGTCTGCAGGGAAGGCAGCTATGTTGTGTCCCTGTCACCTAATACCTGTAATCTGTCCACATCCACTGACCATGATGGGAGCAGAAGGGGGGATGGGGGATCCAGACAGGCTCGACTCGTTAGGGGACTGGGCTGTGACTGGTCATGTCGGGAAGGAGCGGGGCTCCTCTTGCTGTTGAAAGAGTTCTGGGACCAATGTGGGGGAGGGCAGGGATGGGGGATAGGGCCAGTGCTGGGTCTAGACTGGTATGAGAGCCTCAGGGGCCCAGGGGTAGAGGGTAGGGCTGGGGGGAATCTAACCTGGTGAGTGTGGCTCAGCGTGACGGCTGAGGTGTCTAAGTTCAATGTAGAAGTCCTCGGGCGGATACCTGGCCTCCAGGGCACTGATCTGGAAATGGGAGTCTAGTGAGAGGAATGACAGGGAGGAGCCATTATTCCCAGGGCCCTGGTAAGGCGGGAGTGGGGGTGGGGGTGGGGGGCAGGGTGGGGCAGGCCAGGAGGAATGAGGGCTTCTTCGTGTCGCATCCAGAGGGGCTGGCTCGGGGGTTTGCTAGAGTGGAGGCCACTGGCCTTGCCTCCCCTCGCCCCTTCCCCGCTACCCCTACCTCCCAAAGGAGTTGGTGTCCACCTGGCCAGTGGGGCAGAGGGAAGAAACCCTTGAACGGGGTACCTTGGTAGGGCCTGGCTCAGGCAGGGGCTCCTTTTCCAGATGACGAGTGCATCTTTTGCCTTCATCTAGAATCGCCAGATCGGGGGCCCTAGCTGTCTCCCTTGTCCCTGGGTAATAGCCACCATCTCCCTACCCCCTAGTATAGGAATAAAGAGGGTCCTGGGCTTCATTTGCTTATAAGAGCTGAAACAGGGACTTGGGTTTCCTCCCCACACCCTGTCTCCCTGGGGGAAAACCATGCTCAAAATTCATCTACTAACTCTGGGAGCTGGGACAGGGCCCCGTCTCAGTGTAGAGAAGTTGAACAGGGTGCGACATGATGGCGGGGGACCACACTCAAACCACTACTGACCTAACACGTTCACATAGCTGTAGGGGGTCCAGCCTGCTGTGTCTCTGTCAAGGGACTTGTTACTGAGCTGTTTGGAGAGTAGGAGAGCCAGTTAATACCTAGTGCCCCTGCCCAGCCGTGTGCACCCACCCTGTGATGGCCCTGACCCACCTAGGTCCTAGATTGCTGAGGGTAAAGGGAGAGCTAGGTGTTCTAAGACAGGCCACCATGGTGTGGCGGAGGCCAGCGGAAGCAGAATATACCCTGAGCTAAGCTGGCTGAAGCTGTAGGGTTCCCAGGCTCTTGGGGCAAAGGACAGGAACTGGTCCTCCCAAGAGCCAAGAACTGGCCTGAGCCAAGCTGGTCCTGACAGGAAAGTAGGTCAGCTGGGTGGGACTGAGCTACAGGAGAGGCCCGGGGCTCTGGAGTATCTCAGCGGCTACGTGAGGCTGCCTACCACATCACTGTCACCTCTGCCACCTGATCTGGGCTGAGTGTGTCTCCCTTTCACATGTCCAAGGGAAAGCTTCAGGGTAAGGCATACTTATGGTGCAATCTTTCCTCTTCCTGCATTCTCAGCACTATGAGGCAAGGATGGTGTTCCTCATTTCACAGGTGGGGACCTGAGTCCTTGTGGGCCCTCCTTTTGGTTATACAAGGAGTCAGTGGCAGAGCTGGGTCAACTCAGGTCTCAGCTCCCAGATCCACATCCTTCCCATGTCATCATAGCTGTCTGCTTTTGCTACATGTGCCCTGACTATCTGCCAGGCTGAGGAGTCCTTGACCACACAGAGCCACTTAGGGCCCCTGGGGTGAGGTGAGTCAGGGTCACCAAGTGGGCTACTCTGCAGAACGCCAGCTCCTTCCTGGCACTTTCCTGTTAGAATGAGACCAAGAATGACGGGGCCTTGGCCTCTCATCCCTGGCATCCTTTGTCTTTAACCTGCTACAGCCTTAATAATGTGGCTCTAGCTAGTCAGGGGCCTCCTCCTGGGCAAGTCCATATCACCTTCCCCCAGCCCAGCTCCTCAGACAAGCTGAATGCTGAAGCTAGGAATGGGGGTCTGAGCTGGGGAGACACACTGGAAGAGGGGTTAAAGCTATAGGGCTGTTTACGGGGCTGATGGCCACAGACCTTGCCTACGGCCCCAAGGGATCCTGCATGCAGCGCTTGCAATTTCATAGGAAATCTGAGGCTGAGCATTCCTGAAGAGAGTGGCCTTGGGGTGCTGGCTTGCCCTTGGGACTGTACAGTGTGTGTGTTATTGTTAGGGGGTTCAGGCTGCATTGCCACCAGCTCTGTGGCAGCAGGTATTGTCTGTGGGCTGATGGACATTTTCTGTGGGGCAGACAGGGAGAAAGGCTTGCCGGAGCTCTAGGGCAGAGACCTGGAGTATGAAAGCTGCTCCTGCCCATGTTCCTGGTCCAGCATGTTACAGGAAGCCAGGAGTCTGGTCCTGTTGTGTGTGTGCACATGCTTAGGTGGGTTTCAGGAGGTGTGTGCGTATGGGCCCATCAGACCTTGTGGTCCTTGCGGCTCTTCTTCCTGATTTCTGAACCTCCCACTCTGCCCAGAATGGGTCCTCACTACACGTGTGTTCTGAGACATCCTTGCCCGAGGGCCTATAAGAAGACATCTTGCCACCAGCCCAGGATTGTGCTGGTAGCTGTGAGGGAAGGCCCACAGGACTCACTGTGAGCAAGAACACTGGCTATAGCTGATGTCCGGGTCCCACGTCCCTTGTGCTGGTTCTGAGTGCAACCAATGATGTGGGTGTGTACTTGATGACGTGGTTTGTCAGGTACGAGGACTTCAGTGGTTGGTTACCTGAGGAATAGCGGTTACTTTCTAACATGCTGGTTGCCCACATATTTTGGTAATGTACTGCAGCGATTGGTGGTAGGTGGTGTAGTGTTTTGGTTATATGTGTTAACATGTGGCAGAAGTAGCTACTTGGTGTATATGGTTGTGTGTGACAAGAAGGCTACCCATGATTGCATGATCACATGACTTGGTACCAGTTAGTTACATATAGGGTGTGGGGATATATGTTATATTGAATGATACTGTGGTTTGGTTACGTGTGAGGCCTATTGGTTATATGGTGCTTGGTGGCTCCCTGCTACATGCTTCAGAGTGTTTACATGTCCCAAGGATCACGGGGCTGTGTTTAATGTATTGGCATTTGGTTCCACATGGACCCTCCAGGTGGAAGGTGTGTTCCGTCCTGGGTAGAGGTGAAGGCTGAATGGGAGGATAAGGGCTGGGGAGTCAGGGGCCCGGTACCTTTGTGGGGCTGTTCCTGTCCAGAGTGCTGGCCTGGCTGGTGGCAGGCCCCCCGCACGCCAGTGCGTGGTAGCTGGAATTGGAAAAGCACTGGGCATAGCTGCTACTTTGAGACAAATCTGGGAAGAGAACAAGGTGCCACATACCATCATACTCTTAACCCTGGCATGAGATGCCCCAATACTAATGCGTGGGCTGGGCAGCCTTGAGAGTGCTCTGCAAAGAGACAGCCAAGTCCCCCCCCCCCCGATTCCTAACATCCATTGCCCCCAGAGAAATTCGTGGAGCCTGATTTGCCCCTTCCCTCGTGGTGGCCCCTGCAGCACGCAGGATGCAGGATAGTCCTGCCAGTGTGGAGGGTGGTACCAGGAGCTGGAGCATGGGTGAGGGGGGAGGATTGGCTTTGACAGCCTCAGATGTACGAGTCACTGCTTATCTGTGCTGATCCTCCCCTGCCCACCCCCAGGGTCAGATCCCAGTAGTGAGGCCATAAAGAGAACCCCACTCCTCTTGACCCCAGTCCTGCCCTTCTGCCTTGTGGATTCCAGGACCTCTCAACAGGGCTGGGGAATTCCAGTGGAATGGCGTGGGAAAACCCGGCCAACCTTGCTCATTATAGTCATAGAAGAAAATCCCCAAATCTTCTCTATGGGCTTGGATTTCCACCAGAGGATACTATTTGGGCTGAAACTGGAGGGTGGCTGGGGATGTGGATGGGCCATGCAGGCCAGGGACTCAAGGCAAGGTCTGCATCTGGGCTGCCTCTGTCGATCCTGCAGCAGGACCTTGGCCCATGGTAGGCAACGCTTAGCAGGAACGGGCTGGTGTGATGTTGGTTTTCTAAACACAGGGTGTAAGAGGCTGCAGGTCAACCACGAGCTATGGAGCCAGCTGGAGTGAGCTGTCATCCTTGTGCTCACCCAGACAGGCCTAGCCTCCTGTGGCCCAGGGCGATGGGCAATTTCAGAGCATTTTGACCTCTTCTGTTTAAATAAGAAGCAAAAAGCCTTCCTTATTTCTAAGGCAGCAGTCCAGAGTTCAGGGGCCCAACAGCCCTACTCACCCCACGCAGACTCCCATTGGAGTTGTTGCCACATTTGTGGACAGACTGGATTCCAATAGGCCTGGCCAAAGGGACATTGCCCACACTTTCACATCTCCCCCAATTCAGGCAACATCCCCTTCCATTGTATTAATAGGGCCCTCCTAACTCTGGGAACTGGGAAGGGGGGTTACTCTGAGGCCTTCACCCAAGGAAGCAAAATTAGGACCGGCTCTTGACACTGCGCCCCAAGGCCAGTTTCCTGAGGTGTCCCAGGCATCAGGCTGGTGAGGGATTCCCCTGGAGGGTTTAGGAAAGTCACTGCTTAGCGGGGGTGCTCCTGTGGAGGAAGGATGGAAAGCTCTGGGGAATTGGAAGGAGGCTCCTAACAGGCCCTCAGTGCTGGGGGCCCAGGAAACGACACCCCATGGAACCCCATCTACCTTTCCCAAGTGGGCTCCTGCTCTCCACTCCCACTCTCTCTCTAGGGGAGTCTGAGCATCCAGCCCCAGCCGCCAACCCTGCAGGCGCGACCACCCACCTTCAGCAGTAAACTCGGGTGTCCCCAAGGATACAGTGTGTGTGTGGAGGGGGAGGAGGTGGGACGCTGGGGCCACAGCCCTTACCTGAGAGGGAGTAGTCGGTGCTTGTCATCCTCATGGCAGGTGTGTAGGAGACGCGGGGAGCCAGGTCGCGGCCTTTCTCTTTCTGTCGCCGTCGGCGCCAGGCGAACAGGCCCAGCAGCACCAAAATGAGGAACAACAGTAGGACGATGCCTGTGACGGCACCCACCGAGTGCCGCTCTGCACCCAGCGCTGGGCTGATCTTGGTGTAGGGGTTCAGCTCCTCCATCATGAGGGCGGCTGCGGGCGGAGGGCGGGCCTGAGCGGGGGGCAGGCCTCCGTGCCCTTCAGCCCGCTGCTCCTCTACGGCTCGGAGACCTATTGTTCGATCCCTGTGGTCCCAGCTCTCACTGTGCCTGTTTCTTCAACTATCTAAAGGGGCTGGAGTCCCAGGGAACTCCCAAGGAACAAATATGAAGGTGGGTGTGCAATAAGATAATGTTTATTATTTTACTCTTTTAAAAATGAGTTACAGATATTAACTCATTTAATCTTCCCAGCAGCCTTATGAAATAAGGACTATTTAATTCTTTTTCATAAACGAAGAAACAGAGTCCCTGAAAGCTTAGGTAACTTGCCGAAGATCACCCACAGCTAGTAACTATTAGTCAGGTTTCTCAGGAGTTGGGAAAAATGACCCAGCCCCTCTCCCTGTTGACCAGCTATGTCACTTATTAGAGTCCTCAGTTTGCTCATTCGGAACATGGGGACAGCAATCCCACCCTCCCCAGGGGACTGAGCACCATAGGACAGACTGGCAGTGAAAGCTGTGAGCGCTGTGCCCAGAATTACTGCCCACAAAACCCTTCCTGGTACATCATGTGTAGGCTAACCCTCATCATAAAGCAGTGTCAAGCTCCAGTGTGGGTAACAGCCCAATCTCACGAACCAACAGCAATATATAATCCCTTACATGTTTGTAGCACTTTACAAAGGGCTTTTATGAATACAAAACCATTTATCAAGTGCTCACTTATGGGCCAGGCACTGTGCTGAGTCCTTCCTCACTACTGCCCTATGGGAGGAGGGGGCGTCTTCTGGGCTAGACCTGGAGCCAAGGTTGAGCCCCTTTGGACTCCTTGGCTCTCAGCAGAACCTTGTGCTGTGGTGGAAAACGGATTAATCTACTCTTCCCACTCTGCATGTGCAGTCACAGGCCCAGCAAAAGGAAATGACCTGCCCAAGGATACCTAGCAGGTTGCAGAACCGGATTGGCAGCTCTTCAGACGGCCAGCTGCCCTTTCCACAGCACTAGCTTGTGGTTATTCTTGCTTGGCTCACAGGAAGCTGCCAAGGACGACACAGGGAAGCTGTGACAGGCCGCTGCTCCATATGCCCACCCAGTACCTGGAGCCTCCGACTCCCCACTCCTTCCCCTGCAGCGCACCCCACTCCTGCTCTCTTCCCAAATGTGAATAAAGGGAAGTCATAAAGTGTCCTTTACAAATCCAGTTGTTCCCATTGGAATCTCCCAGAATCTGCTTCCATGGCCCTTTCCACAGCCCCCTGCCTGGGGGGACTGCCATCTGTGTATTACCTTGGTCACACCTGATTCCTTTGAATCCAGAGCTGCAATAACAGGTGCCAGTGACGTGGTCACAGGTGGCATTGTTCATGCACTCACACAGCTGCTGACACCCATAGCCGAAGGTTCCTGGAGCGCATCCTGTGTAACGGGGACAGGAGTTGGGCTAGACAGTAAGACGCAGTCACACTAACCCCTCCCAGCCCCTGTGTGGGCAGCTGTGCCTATTAGCCAACTCTGCCTGTTCCCTGCTTTGATTTGATACTTGGGGGTAGAGAGCACCTCTAGCCCTGAGTGCGGGGACAGCCACCCGTTTGCTCACTTGACACACTTTTGCAGCATCCTCCACATGCTGGGCCCTGAGCTGGGTGCCCAAGGGGCTTCGAAGAAGAATCAACACCTGTCTCCCCGCTTGCCCCCTCAGGCCTCTGCTGTGCCTCAGTATTTCCCCACCCCCACCCAAGCAGAGGAAGAAACTACAAACACCACTGCAGGCATGGCCTTCAGCCTTTTCCCTTGGGAGCTGCTCCAGGAGTCAGAGGAGCAGGTTTGCAGAGCCCCGAATGCGTGGACCTTGAAAGGGGAGGCGTCTCCTGCAGGAGACTGAATCCTGGCAGCGACACCCTGAGTCATGGGTTGGGACAGCTTACTCTGCTCACAGTGTCTCCCGGTGAAGCCTGTGCGGCAGGTGCACTTGCCACTGATGTGGTCACAGCTGGCGCCATTCTGACACTGGCACACACGCCCACAGTCCTTCCCATAGAAAGCTGCTGGACAGCCTGGAGAAGAAACGGTGGTGGCCACTGCAGGGGTGCGGCTGGGACCAAACCTGTTTTCTGCCACCTCTCTGAGCGTTGAGGTGAAGACTAGTGAAGCCATGTACCCAAGCCATCTCCACACTCTGAACCCTCACAATGGGGGTGGGGGTGGGGAGTCCTTTGGACAAAGGTGCCTTGGAATCAGAGGCCAGACTAGGATTCACCTGGCTTTCCAGCCACAGGTCACTCCTCTTCACTCTGGGCCCCGCTGTCCAAGGAGGGTTTCGTCTTGATGATTGGTAGGGTGCCTTACAATCCTGACCTTCCAGGACTTTGGACCCATCAACCCCCGAATCCAGCCAGGCTGCCAATCCTAGGGGTGGGAAGGCTCCGGGCCCTGGTGCCCACCTCCTCTCTCCCTCCCTGCAGGCCTAGACAATGCCCGAGGCAGCCAGCAGGCTGCAGCATGGGATTCAGAATAGCTGGGCGGCCTGGAGGCGGGGCTTACGCTGTGTGCAGAAGAGTCCTGTCCAGCCAGGGGTGCAGTGGCAGGCCCCATCCTCAGCGCTGCAGCTCGCCCCGTTGTGGCAGCTGCAAGTGTGGAAGCAGGCGGGGCCCCAGAACCCAGGTGGGCAAGCTGGGGGTGGATAGGATGCAGAAGGTGAGGGCAAGGTACAGAGAGGAGCAGGTGGGAAGGGAGGGAGAGGAAGAGAGGAAGAGAGGGCGCATGTCAGCCAAGATGCCAAGTGGCATTTCCTGGCTTTCATGGGGCTTTTCATGATTGTTCCCAGAATTCCTCCACTCACCTCTGGGCCCAGTCACCCATGATTCCCATTACGCCCAGATTCTCTGCCCACTCTCCCAGCTCTGAGGGCTCCTGAACCTTCCCTCTTGGGACTGATAATTTGGAGTGTGGGTAACTAAACACTGCAGTTGACTCTGTGACTACTGTGTGTGCTGAATTCCCCATGAGGTTGGGAGCTTTCCCAGGTAGGGACTCCTGGCTGATGAGCTCTCTGAGGTTGGTACCTGTGTCGCCTCCATCAGAATGGAAAAAGGCCAGACTATCTAACCGGGACCTCCCTAAGGGGTACCGGCTGGGTCTCTGCCCTTAGATCAGGAGGCCCCTGTTAACTCCATACAGATTGGGTACACCTTACATGAACAGCCCCCACACTACCACATCCAGGCTTATGATGTCCAGGACATCACTCACATGGGCCACCCAAAGGACACACTGACCCTCTGAGGTGACTGCCCCGGCCACTCTTCCCTACTCCCAAACTCCAGCATGCCAGTCCCCGCCCCCTCGTCCTCTCCATCCAAACGTAAGGGCTACGCCTTGCTCAGCTGCGAATGGAGTATTAATTCTCAGTATTAATAGCATTAATGGTACTACCAACAATGTCAATACCAGCCGTTAATGCCAGCAGTCAATCCTAATAATTCATGTTAGGTAGAGAGCTAGGTGGGACTCAGGTGGACAATCCTATCTGCAGAAGGAGATTGTAGCCCTGGCAGGTGGAGGCGCCAGGGGCAGAGAGGTTCTGGGCAAGGATTGGGCATTTTGAGGCGTGACCCCGAGTGAGGGTCATTCCCAGGGGGGCAGCAGCTTACCCTGGGCGCAGTCCTTGCCAATCCATCCGGGGAAGCACTGGCAGGAGCCATCAATGGGGCTGCAGGTCCCATTGTTGGCACAGGAGCAGAGCTGGGCGCAGTCCTGTCCAAAGCGCCCTCCAGCACACACTGTGGGCACAGGACAGCCTGGCACCTGCCCTCTCACCTGTAATCCTCAGACCGCCACCCACAGCTTCAACCCCAGAAGTTCCCAGGCCACAGCCATGGTCACTGTGGGGTCACAGATCTAGGTGGGAACTGCCCACCTCAGCTCCCCCATCATCCTTCTCCATTTGCACGTGAATGAGTTCCCCTCTTGTGTCCACAGCTGCATTCTTTGGGAGGCTCTATTAATGATCCCCTCTGCCCGGAGCAGGCTGAGGCACATGGGGTAGAATCACTTGACTTAGGTCTCACAGACACAAGTGGAGAGGCTGGGAACCCCACGGCTGCCCTCGGTCCAGTGCTCCCAGCACTGCTGTGCAGCCTTCCATCTCAGAATACCACAATCTGCCAGCAGCACTGATCCGAGGGCGGGAAACGTAGCTGGAAGGAGATGGACAAATGCAGGTGGGAGGTCTGTCTGACATTAGATTATGGGAGGACTGGCCTTGAATTTCTACCCCTGTGCACCTCCGTCTCTCTAAATCTGACCTGTTCCTCAAACCTCAGCTCAGCCACCCCCTCAGGAGAGCCCCCTGGGTCCACAGGGTGCTCTCTTTTACTGAGCTCCCATGGTTATTTCCACTTTGAGTCACTTGTAGGATTTGGGTCCCAGCCCCTCCTGGAGGAGTCACTCCTTGGTCCCTGGAGGAAGGGCTGATTTCCTCCACTAGGCTGCAAGCTCCTTTAGGACGAGGTCTGAGTGTTAATCGAGCACCTACCTCTCATTTCCCCTGCAATTCATCCTCTACCTTCTTCCTACAACTTGAGCTCTCTAAAGCACAGCTCTCTCTGTGGCACTCCTGTGCCCTGCTCAGACAGCCTCGGTGACTCCCCATGGCCCCGGAATAAAATCTGGATCCTAGAGATCAGTAGCTTCCTACCTCACCCAGACACATAAGCCGCTTTCCAAATACACCTCATGCCTTTCCTCCTCTGTGTGTTTGCCCCAGCTGTTCCCTTCCAGAAATTCCGTGACCCTCATGTCCAGCTGTGGAAATCCTACCCTGCCTACAGGACTCACCATAAATACTACCTCCCCTAGAATCCCTCTGGAGGAGGCTGCTAGTCCTTCAATATCAATTTTCTTTTGAGTAGAATCGAGTTTTAGTTGGGCTCATGGCCACCTGGGATAAAGACTTCATTTCTCGGGCTCCTGCACAGCTGGGTGTGGCCATGTGCCTACATTTTGGCCAATGGTAAGTGGAAACGTGTCTCTTTTTCTGTTCCTCCTTGTTGAAGGATAATAATGTGGATTATGGATAAGAGCTGTGGGTAATATGTCTGGAGCTCAAGCAGGTATCTTTTATCAGCTGTGGAAGCCATGTGCTGAGGATGGCTGAACAAGATAGGAGGGTCCCTGACGTCTCTATAAGCTACTGTACCAGTCCCCAGTGGCCTACTTCCAGATCTCGTGTGTGTGTGTGTGTGTGTGTGTGTGTGTGTGTGGTGGTGGTGGTGGTGGTGGTGGTGAGAGGGAAACAATGCTTGTCATTTTCAAACCAGATAGTTTGGGTTTTTATATCACTTAGAGCTGAACTTAATCCTACCTGATTCACCCCTCTTTGCTCTGGGGGGCTATGTGTCCCTTTTTGAGCTTCCAGAACACTCCATTACTTTCTTCCCTGGCCTTCGGTTCCTGTGGCTTGTGAGCCAGTTTCAGGCCAGGCCTGGGTTCCACTCATGTCTGTGACCCCCACAATGCCTGGAACAACAACAGGCACTCAAGGCATGCTGGCTGACTGTGTGGAAACAAGCTGACTACCTCTTCCCCCAGGTTCTGCTGGGAAAGGCTGAGCTCAGAATTTCCCCCTCCACCGCCTCTGTGGCTGTACCCCTATGCCGAGCAGGAAGAGCCATGGCTGGGGGCTTCTGCCCCAATGGAAGTATTCTCTTGAGTCTCTGGAACGTACATTATCTGAAGCAGTGTCAGCTGGGCACATCCTGTCTCAATTATTTGCTCTTTCCCTGGAGGCACGTGTGCCTAGCCGCCCCCTCCAGGGCAGGTGAGCCCCATCACAGGGGGAAGACTTACTCAGATGCAGAACCAGCTGAATGAACCAGCCTTCCAAGCAGCTTAGCAAGCATCCACATCCATTGAGAGTCAGGTGGGGGCAGCACATGGCCGCAAGAAAGTCAAAGATGGGCCAGGGTCCACGAGAACAAAACTTCTTTATGGTATTTTTGTTATCCTGTATTCAGGTCTTTGTAGTGGTTAGCAATAAAATAATTTAAAAAGGGGGGGGAAAAGAATTTTTCCCTCTAGACTACAGGCTTTGCGAGGGCAGGGAACCTGGCTCTCTTATTCTTTGTTGGGCCTGAGTGCCCAACATACAGCAGTGCCTGGCATACAGCAAACACTCAGGAAATGTTCCGGAATGGCCAAAATAAGCCTGAGGAGCAGTGACCTTCCCTCGAGCTCTGCTGGAAACCCCTGTCTCTTTGAGCGTCTCTCAGTTCCACATGCTCTCCTCAAAGCCCAGTTCCAGCCAGCCCTACATCCTTGAAGAAGGCTTCCTTGCATTCCTGTTATGGGGGAGGAACTCCTTAAATCCCTGAGGCTCTTGGTTGGCTGAGCCACACAAAGGATCACTGGGAGGTATTTATTGAAGCAACTTCTCTAGGGCCTAGGCTTCTCAAACCTTAGGCTGCACTCTCTCCTTCATGCCACACTGCCTGGCACTCACATTGCCAGTCCTCCCCCAACCAGATTGTGGGCACCTGGTGCCTAGGACAGTGTCCACTCTGTGCCTCTCCTGGACATGATTAGTGGTTGGGACAAATATTAATAATAAAGGCAGCACAGTGTACCAGGCTCTCCAGTCCAAAGCCTTGGGCTTGGGTCTTAGTTTTATTTATGTATTCAACAAGCATTTCTATGGCACTTAATATGCAGCAGACACTGTTCCAAGTGTTTCACAAAAATGAGTTCAATAAACTTTGTAATACTATCATTATTCTATATTTTCATTATTACTCCCTATTATTAATTCTACAGATGAGAAAACCGAGGCACTGGGAGGTTAAGTAACTTGCCCAAGTTCACACAGCTGGGAAGTTCTACCGCTTCCTGGCTGAGTAGCTTTGCGCAAGCCACATCACCCTTCTCAGCCTGTCCCCTCATCTTTGAAATGAGGAAAAGCCTCGCCCACTGGGCTCCAGCTGTGAGCAGGCTGGCTGACTGGGAACCTGTGTTCCTGGCAAAATCCTTAGCTCCTTCCAGGGCAGGTGCACGGCCAGGAGGTCAGGAGGACGACACACATCTCACCTGTTTGCACCTCCTGCTTTAACTACCTGAAACGCATGTGGCCCAGCCTCCTATTCCGTGCCTCTGGGAGGTGCTCGATTTGGGGAGCCTCTCCCCCAGTCGTGGCCTGCTGTGGGAAATGGGGTGCCAGAGCTGCTCCACCTACCCATACCCCTAAAACCAACTCTGAGCTTCTCTTATCTTTGAAGTCTTTCTCACACACACAAGGCTGACAAATTCACCCATAGTGCTGCTAATGTGATCAGTCTAATACATTAATTGGTCGACTTCTTAGCTAAATCAAGAGTGAGGCAAAGAGAGGGGTTGTGGAGAGAAATGGGGGCTGGTGAAAAGAAAACATCTGGTTATATTTAATCTATGTTTAATGATTCTGCATAAGCAGTGTCTGTAATTTGTAACTCGCTGGAAAGCTGGTCATTAGAAAGTGTCAGTTCAATTTTTTACAAGGTTGGAGACTTAACCAGGGCAGTTGCCATTAATAGCAAGCTCTATTAGATCTATATGTGGAAAATACTCATTAGGCCAGCGGGCGATAAATCAGACATCACAGGATCTGAGAGTTACTCCTCGGGCTGCTTGGGTCCTAATTTAGACCCAGCTTATCTGTATTGATGGCCGGGTCTCTGATGTTTAATAAGTAAACCTCAACGTGTCAGGTTATGATTAAACTGTCCTAGGAGGGATGCAAGCAAATGAAACTGTCACATATGTTTCCCTGGGGCCCAAACTTCTCATGACCTCAAAGCATCATGGAGTAAACTTTTCACTCATACATATTAACGGCCCATACTCTTACAAAAATAGCCCAGCTCAGTGGTGATCATTCATCAAAAGAATCATTTCCCCCCCGGGAGGTAGCGAGCTCTCAATGGAAGTATTTAAGCAGAAGCCAGATGAGAGTCTTGCACAGATGACCTTGAAGTTGCTTTTAGCTCTGAGTGTACCTTAGTGTAAGATTTCCTTTGCTCTTTTACAGGTGAGAGTGCAAATTCTGCAACCTTGTGTTCAAAGCTGTTCCGAAGGCCCCAGACGACCTTCTCAGCCCCTTTCTCATCCCCAGCTCGGCCATTCTTCAGACCTTCCCTGCTGCTGGACAGTCGCATGTCCACTCCCCTGTGCTTTGCGTACGCTGCTCCACCTGAATGCCTGTCCTCCTTGTCTGCCTTCCCGGCTAAGGCCCAGCTGGAGTCGTGCACAGCATAGAGCTGTCCCCCAAATCCACATGCCTCAGCCTAACTAAGCCATGGACAACATAAGCAATGGTGTGTGCTCGAGCAAGTGTCTACCTTTGCACTGGCTGCTAAATATTCAGGAATTCTGTGACCCGTGTTCAACCTTTGTACCTTGGAATCAGCGATGGTGGGAATATTTTATCATGGAAATTTGCAAATGCTACAAATCATGGTTTTCCCCCCACAGAGAGCCAGTTTAGCAGCACACCAATGCAAATAAGCTTTCTCTCCCCTTTCAACTTCTGTTGAGTTGTAAAGGTTGGCTGGAGTTGGTGTTGTGAAGGATTCTGCAGCTGAGGCAGGAAAGCTGGTGGTGTGGAATTAGTGGTGCTGGCCTGAGTGCGAGGGGAACAGGGCTGGGAAGTTGCCATCTCCAGCTGAAACCGGAACTGCCTCTGAGCTCCCACAGCGTTCTCTGCCTTTACTGCTTGGCACTCAGCATCAGTCATTTGGGGCCACTTCGAATGCTGACCTCACCTATGCTTATTTCATTTTCCATCCATTTAGCATGGGCCTTTGGGTCAGAATTTGTTTCTCACCTCTGCCACATGTTAGCTGTGAGACCATGGAGAAGTGATTTAACCTCTCTGAGCCTGTTCCCTTAATTGCATTATGGCTTTGTATCATGCCCTGTGGGACCCAATTCTTAGAAAGGTAGGCCCCAGCCCTGAAGAGGCAAGGCGCTGCCTCCACAGAGTATGATGAGCATCCCCAAACCCTTCCTTTCTTTCTTGCCAGTACTCCCCACCTCCCCAGACCCCGCCTTCCCCTGGAGATAGTACCTTGGTTGCAGAGGGCTCCGGAGAACCCGGGAAGGCACTCACAGGTGCCGCTGACATGGTGGCAGGGCCCGCTGCTGTGCACGCAGAGGGGGCATGGCTGGGTGCAACCGTGGCCGTAGAACCCAGGGGGGCAGACTGGGGAGCGAAAGGGAGATGTGGTCAGCAGCCTCGGGGGCCTCAGCGAGCCTGGCCACCCCTCCAATTCCACATAGTGATGAAGGGAGGCTCCTCAAAAGTATGGGGAGACCTACACCCACCCCACATCATGGAGGGTCTGTCTCTTTCTGCAGCGAGGACCTGTGGTCTGGTCCTGTTTCCACTGAGGAGCCAGGCTGGACCCTGAACTTGGGTACAGAAATGCCAGGGAAGGGGGAGAGGGTACTAGAGCGAGGGATTTGATGAGCCTGACTCTGACAGCCCAGACTCTCTCAGGCCAGGACTAGTTTCAACTGGGGAGCGCCGGGGAGGATTAACTGCCTGAGGTCTGTAGGATGGGGGTCTCAGCCTTACTTCTCTGGCATAAGGGTCCTCGGAAGCCAGGGGCACACTCGCAGCTCCCATCCTCTGGGGAGCAGGAGCCGCCATTCTCACAGCTGCAGGAGACGGAGCAGTTGGGGCCCCAGCGACCGGGCGGACACGTGCTGTCACAGCGGATGCCTGTGGGCCAGAGGCAGACTCAGGTCAGTGGTGCAAAGAGTGAGGGCAAAAGGAAGAACGGTGGGAAGAGGGCACCATGCAGTATGAAAAGGTGGAGGCAAACGCAGTGCATCTGGGAATGTGGAATTAAAACCCAGCTGAGGCTTGGACACTCAAGGAGGGCTTCCAGGAAGAGGTGACGCCAAAACTGAGTCCTAAGGGCCAGGGAGGACCTGACCAGGTAAAGGAAGCCCTATGTGCAAAGAGCAGGAGCCAAAAGAGAGAATCATGCTTTGAAAGAAAAAAATAGTGGTGTGTGGCTGAACCACAAAATATAAAATGCGATATGGCAAGAGATGAGATTGTGGGACTACGGGACCAGATCATGAAGGGCCTCCTTCGTTTTTGACATATTAGTTGGTATCCAACGGTAGGCCTGGAAGAAACCAACTATGGGGCCAGTAAGTGCTGTTTTCTGGGGGACTGCACAAGCTGGGAATGAGCTACATGACCACCCACCTTAGCCTGGGAACCACTAGTCCTCCCTGGGTTCTTGCCAAGCAGCCCTGGGGCAGGGGCCCAGAGAACGGGTGGGATCTTTGCTGATTCTTTTGACCACCGTCCTCAGTGCAATAGGTATTTTATATCATATGTGCACACGTAGGTATAACAGAAACCACGGCTTTGAAAAATGACATTTACTGTGTGTGATGCACTCTGATATTTTCTCTGCACTATGATGTATTCTATTCATTAAGGGAAAAAAAGCTAGTTGTGACCCAACAAATGGATTTAATGATCCTCACTTTGACAAACGGTGGCCTGTGGGGAACGGATGGAATTTCTCAGTAAGAAATAGGAGCAAGGCCCACACATTCTTTTTGAGCTGAGGGAGAGGAAAGATGTGTTAGGGTTGATTACAGCCAAAGGCTAAGGAAGGAATTTTAAAAGGCTTGAGGCTGCAGACCCCAGCTCTGGGGTGGGGCTTGCTCCCAGGCCAAAAGGCTTCCAGTCTGACTGCATTAATTAGATGAATGGACTGGGTGGGCCCTAGAGACCAGTGTGGCTTTGGATGGTGACTATCAGAAGCTCAGAGAGGGACAGAATTTGTTTAAAAATCATGTCTGCCTTGTTACCAGGACAGGTATTATGAGGAAGAGAAAGAGGGAGGAACGACACTCAGGCCCAGTGAACAGAGCCAGTCCTAGTAGTGGTGGGAGAACAGTGGGACCAACTTAGAGGAAGGCTGGAATTGCACAAGTCCACCTGGGCTGCTGGGGAGAGGGGAGGGAGGCAGGACCGCTGGAGAGAACGGAGAGGAAGGGTGGCAGCAGGCTACTCATCGTCCAGTGCCTCAGTCTAGCCTCCCGCCCTGCTGCCTGCTGCTCTGCTCCCTGCCCTGTGATGACTCCCTTTCGCAGCAGGCTGCAGGCCTAAAATGCCACTCCCCGGGCAGTAGATCTGTGTGTGGACTGAGCGGGGAGCTTCTCCCTAGGGAATGGGGTGTTTCACCAGGGAGAGTCTGGTAACCACATTTCATCCCGCGATGGAGTTCTCTCCCAGTGGAGTGTCAGGTGCTCAAGAGGTGAACTCTAAGCTGGCAGCATGGATTGACTGACGGGGAGCCTGGGGAAGGGGAAACCATGAAACTGGGCAAAACCAGAAGCCGTGATCTGCCCCAAGGAGTTCTTTTGCCTGTGGGTGTTGGGAACCCAGGATACAGACTGCAGGCCCAGGGACACTGCTGTTCCTGGGGGGCACAGCGGACTAAGGCAGACCCCACCTGTGCGTCAAGCATTCTGTGTGGGCTGACCAAGCACAAGTATCACATAGAGACCCTGCGCTTTCCTAAAATCTATATGCATATGTCACCGTGATTAATAATACACACTGCCTGCAAACGCACCCCGGAACGCATGGCAGCTGGTTGCTATTGTTTTCCCCCAACTGGTGGGTATTAAAAGTACAGGTGCTCTCGTGTGGGACCCTCCAAACGTTCTCATGTCAGAAAGGGTCCTCTTTCTTGGAGATTGAGAACCGCAGGGAGCAGGTGATGGATTATGGTCAGATTGCAGGTGGCAGCAAGGGCCCCTCTGGGTTCTAGAATTTGGCAAGTATTCTATTCTAGGCCTGGTTCTGTGGGGCTGGGCTCCTGTATGAGGTTCTTCTATGTCCTAATAGCTCTCTGGAACTTAAGACATTGGGACCTAAGTGGGGAGAAGGGTCCAGGGTGCCCCCCGCCCTCATGTGTGGAGTGCCCAGTTCTAGAAGGGGACTTACTGGTGTGGTCAAAGGGGCTGACCTTGGCCTGGGGGGAAGCTCCCCAGCTATAGCTTCTGAAGAGGCATAGCTTTGTCAGTTACCTTCTCTAGGCCCCATTTCCCTATAGTTGAGGGGGGATAATAATTCCCCTTAGAGGTCTCTACCTTAGGGAATCTCCCTGCTTTATTTTTCAGCCCCCCACCCCCACCCCATATCTATGTTGGTGGGTAAAGCTAGGCTGAGAATCCATATATTATGACCTCAAGTTCATGCCACAAGGCCAGCAGCAGCTCAGCAGCCGGCATCCTTTCAGGGGCTGCTTAGGGCCCTCCTCCAGAAAGCCTTCCTGGATGTCTGCCCAGGGATTCAGACGTCTAATTGATAGTCACCCGCCTCCAGCTTTGTCCTCAACTATTATTTGAACGTTTGAAGACAGGGACTATGGCTTCCCAACACTTCGGACCCTCTGTATTTGGTGCTGCTAATGGACAAAGATGCCTTCTTGGTCATTTTTGCATCTCTGGTGCCCAGCAGGGTCTGGCACACAACAGGTGCTCAGAGCCTATTGCTGCTGTTGAATTTTGCCATTTATTGCTGGGCCTGACAGAGTGCTGGGCACGTGGTAGCTCGAAATCAAGACTTGGTATTTGCTGGAGTCAGGAAATGCTAACTGAATAAATGAATGGCTCCCCCTGAAAGTGCAGTCCTGTGTCTCCCATCCTCTTGGCACTCATGTCCTGAGACCTTGGGCAACTCCCTTTCTTCATCTGTGGCATAAGCAGATTGAAGTAGATCATCTCCAAGGTCTCCTTCACTTGGAGAAGAGAAACCATATATGGTTATAGGCCCGTGTCTTTCAACTTATCTCAATAAACATTTAATAAGCACCTACTACGTGCAGGGTAAGTCGAATTAGACATGGTGCCAGTTGTCGAGAAGCCTGTGATTTTTGGTGGTGAGGGGAGAAGATATGCATACACTTAGGGCAGAGAAAAACTGGTGTTGAGCCAAAGTACAAGCGATACGCCAGGGGCTGGGGAGGGCTCACGATCCAGAGGCTGTGGCCTGTATCCCACCCTCTCTCCCTCTCTCCTTGGTCCCCTTCTGCATGATAAACCTCAGGATATCAATCGTTCCTTTGAAATGACTTCAGGACCATGCTTGGGGAAATTAGCTTTAGAACAGCGAGGCTTTCCTGAAAGGTTGTCCATCAAAGACAGAATTTCTAAGCACCAGATGTCATTAAAATCTTAGCAGCTCACTTGAAATTAAGGCAATGAAAAATTAAAGTGGAGTTCCACTTGGCTCCAGCTAGGAGTCTAGGGTGCCAGTGTACCAAAGGGCAGGGCAGGGAGAGCCAGGTGGAAGGTGCTGCAGAGGAAGCACTGTCCCTGGCCCTGGGCTGCTCAGCGACTTCCTGCTTGTGGACAACGAGGCTGCTGAGCAGCCTGGTGGAGATTATTTATCTGAGGACCTACACTGCCAGCAATGCCTGTGTTTCTTTCTCCTTGATTTCTAGCACCTTGGGACTGGCTAGTGGGTTAATTCAGGGAGCATATCATTAGTAAGCACTTCCTGCATTCAAGGTTTACATTTACTGAGCACTTACTATGTGCCCGGCTTTGGTAGCATTTACAGCTATTAACTCATTTAAACGTCAAAATGACCCTGTAGTTAGGAGGATTATAATTATATGCATTTTATGGGTGAGGCGTTCAGGCCCTGAGAAATGAAAGGACTTGCCCAAGGTCACAAACCCAGGCAGCCTGGCTCCAGCTCCAACTCCGTATCTCAGTGGGTGGCCGGCAGTGGACAGTGGTGAACAAAGCAGATGTGTTCCCTGTCTCCAAAGAGCTGATGGTGGAGATGGGGAGGCAGATAATAAACAAATAGTTACTCTAATCCGAGTTCAGTGACAATTGAGGTATACGCTGCCAAAAGAAAAACGTAGGGTATTATGAGAATTGATAAAAGGGGTTTTTATATAGCCTTGGCCAGGGTGAGGGATGGGTTGTAGCAGGGAGTGACAGCCTTGCCAGAGGATGGAAGCTTTAAGCTGAAATCTGGATGAGAATGCATTACAGGTGCAGAGCCAGGGCAAGTGGCCAGGCAGAGGGACTGCACGTACGAAGGCCTGGGGTCTGAAAGGGGGATGGCCTGGGGGGCTGGAGGGTAGTGAGTGACGGGAGGGGGCAAAGGAGAGGTGGAGGAGCTGGGCGGGCCAGATCACATGGGCCCAGGGCCACAGTAAGGATTTTGGATTTCATATGCGGGCCAAAGGAAGCCACTGAGGCATTTTGAGCAGGGAGGACTTATGTGAACGGACCTGGGTTTTGAAAAGTTCCCTCTGACTACGATGTGCAGAATGGATGCAGCTGGGCAAGGGGAGGCCCAAAGACCAAGGAGGAGGCCGAGGCAATGCCAGCTGAGAGATGGTGCCCGGTGGACCAGCGTGGTGGCAGCGGAATAGAGAGAAGTGGATGGATTTGCAGGCTGACAGAACATATGCAGAGGCAAGGAGTCTGAGCCTGGGCTAAGGAGAAAGTGCCTTTCCCCGTCTCCACCATGTCCTCTACAAACACCTACACCCACCTGGTGTCAGTGATTCTTTACAGGTGTGCCCCCACCCCTGACAAGAGAGCCTGCACATAATATTTCATCAATATTAATCAATATTTGTTTACTTGAATGGAATGGAATGGAGGACTGAAGCCCAGAAAATAAAGGGAAAGGGGCATGTTTAAGGAGCAAGAAGAAGAGGAGAGAGCGAGAGCAGCCAAAGGAAGTAGGAGAATATCAAGGACCCAATTTCACAGGACCTGGTGGTGAGGAGGCAGAGGGGGGTTACCTGTCCATCCGGCCAGGCAGCAGCAGTGGCCTGTGACAGGATCACAGCCATCAGCATGGCTGCAGTCACAGCGCTCACTGCAGTTCAGCCCAAATGTGCCATCCTGTGGACAGAAGGGGAGAAATGAGCAGACCTAGACCCCCATAGCTTCACATACTTCTGTTGGATTTTGATGACAAAACAGCCACTGTCCCCCAAGGTCGCAGAGAGACTAGGGCTTGGGCACAGTGGGAGCACTTTTTATAAGTGGGGATCAACATGGTCATGAGACTACTCTAAATAATTTTTTAGCTGCATTAACGAGAGTATGGGGTTTGCAAAGAGTGAGGTGACGGTCCTGCCCTACTCAACCGTCAAGCTCAGATGGCTGGAGTGATCATTAATTAAAATTGCAAATGAAAATGCCCTTTATAAATTGTAACATTAATCACGTGGGGAAGGACTGATTTGTTTTTTGGTACTGGGGAAGAAGGTGGCGACCAATATTTGTTGCGTGCTCATTAGGTATCAAGAGCCTTATATAACTCGTTTCTCTTAAGCCTCACGACTCTATATGATGGTTCCATTATATTCACAATTTAAAGGTGAGAAATAAGGGTAGAGAGGGGAAGTATCATGCTCAAGGTAATATAGCTAGAACGTGGCAAAGCTAGGATTTGAACCTGGGACTGTAGGACTTATTCAACAATATCACATCAGTTGGTTTAACTTATTTGTATCTTAGACTGAGATCCAGTGATTAAGTCTAGGTGGTTATTGCTGGATGATGCTTGGTGTAGTCCTCCCATACTCCAGTCAGAAAATTACAGACTGCTGGAAGCAGAAAGAAGCTTTGACACGACCTATCAAGGAATGGCCCCTGTGATGGATGAGTAAGGCTGTCCTGTAGCGCTCTGTTGTGGAGGATTCTGAAGCTGCATCTGGGTTCAGGTAAATATACGAGAGTCAACTAATAATGTTTACCGAGAGCAGCGAGGGAAAAGGATGCCACTTCACCACCCCTGCCAAGCATTTGCCGTTTTATAGATGAGAGGGCTGAAGCCCGAAGTAGGAAAGTGGCCACAGAGAGACTGAGACTACGGCTGAGACCTGATCCAAGGGTTCCCCTCACCACGCCTATGCTCTTCTTTGTGCAATTCTGTGGACAAAATCACCACAGGGAAAGGGCATGAGGGGATGCTGAGACCACCAGGTCCTTCCCGGCACTGGGCACTCACCGGGCAGGGCAGCTCGCAGGTGTCTCCCAGCCAGCCAGGGGTGCAGGAGCAGGAGCCGTTGGCGGGGCTGCAGGCCGCCCCGTTGGTACAGGTGCAGCTCTCATTGCAGTTCAGGCCCCACGTCCCGCTGGGACATGGCAGGGTGCAGTCAAGGCCCTGCCACCCTAAAGGGAGGGAAAGAGGCTACAACCTCTCCACCCAGGCCCAGCACAGCTTCCTGCGCCTCCCCCGCCCCAGCTCTGGACAGGGCATTCCACCCAAACCACCACTTCTCTGATCACTGGGTTAGGACACACATTCCATGTCGAATCCACTCAGAAATATGCATGGCTGTTAAGAGAGCCAGGGCTAGAGTGCGCGCCTCCTGCCTTCCCGTTCTGTTTTTGCTTTGGGCTGATAACCCCACCTGGGGCAGGGAACCAGCTGAGGTGGGGAGGGCTAGCTCTGCCCAGAGTGGGGTCAGCCAGCCTATCTCAGGGCCCTTTGTTTTCAGGACAGCCTGATTGCCCATCTGAGGCTGGTCACTGGCCTGTTGGCCCTCAAATCCATCTCTCGCCATCCCCTGTTCTGTTCTGCGTCACAGGGGGCCAAGCCCTGCAGCTATGTCCCAAGCTCCCCCTCGCCTGGCTCCCAGAGGGGCTTGCCAATGGGAGACCTGGCCCACAGACTGGAGGGCGGGAGCAGGAGAGGCACCAGGTGTCTTCTCTTCCCTCTCTGCGCTGGGCAGGGCCTCTGGTGGTGACTGTCTCCTTCCTGCTCCAGCACTACTGTGCAGTCTCTGTCTGTGTCCCAGCTCCCACTAGGTGGCCCTCACTCCTAGGAATGGTAGCAGTTCCTCCCAGAGTTGCTAATCTCCGGGTAGCTCGCCTTCCCTTGTATGCTCTTCTCACACCACACGGTAATGAATCCATTTATTACATTCCTGCTATTCAAGTCCCTGGCATGAGTTTCCTTGGCTGGAACCAGACCGACAGGCTCCCTGACCCTGCATGTGTGTGGATGGGGCAGGAGCCGCCCAGACCCCTCAGCTGGCGGACCCCCTGGGCAGTGTGCATATCTGAGGGGGATGGGATTGGGAAAGAAGGCACATTACCTTCCTTGCAGATGCAGGAGCCATCTACTGGGGAGCAGGTGCCACCGTTGTTACAGCTACAGACGGACGAGCAGTTGGGGCCGTAGGTCCCTGCTGCACAGGGGACCGCACAGACCTCTCCCTGGAAAAAGAAGTGAGTTTTGAAGCAGAGGTTGCCCCGTGCTGGGTGACTGTGGTAGGTAGACTAATGTAATGACCTCTGCCCTTCCCCTACCCAGGATGTCCATGATCTAATCCCTGGAACCTGTGGATATGCTACCTGACATGGCAAAAGGGACTTCACAGACATGATTAAGGACCTTGAGATGTAGAACATGGGTTATTCAGGTGGGTCCAATCTAATCACACGCATCCTTAGCGGTAGCCTCCAGATGGCCTCCACCTGCTTGTATTGGCTTTGAAGATGGAGGTGGGGGCCACAAGTCAAGGAATGCAGCGGCCTCTAGAAGCTAGGATCAATGCTCGTTTTACAACCATCAAGAAAAGGGGACCTCAGTCCTACCACCCTCGTAACTGAATTCTGCTAGCCACCTGAAGGAGCACGCAACATTCTCCCCTAGAACCTCCTAAAAGGAACACAGCCGCCCACACCTTGCCTTCAGTCCTCTGAGACCCATACCAGACTTTGGACCTAAAGAAATGCAAGATAATAAATGTGTTTTAAGCCACTACATTTGTGCTAATTTGTTACAGCAGTGATAGGAAACTAATACAGTGCTCTCACCAGTTGGGGGAGGGGTCAGGGTTCTAGACCACAACTCCAGGATGGGCAAAGCCCCCACGGAACTTGTCCATGAGTCTGTATCAGGTCACAGCAGCATAGAATTTGACCCTTTGCCTCTCCAATTGGAGTCTCACCAGCAATCCCATGACACAGATAATTTCTTATCCCCATTTACCAAGTTAAATGTAATATAATAATAATAGCTAACGTCTATCAATATCAGGCACCGTGCATACATCATCTCATTTAATCTTCACAAGACCCTTGGGAGACAGGAACTATTGCCGCAACATGATTCCCACTTTATAGATAGAACAATTGTATGGAGAAGTTAGGTAACTCAGCCCAAATCTAAAAACGGTTGATCCCTCTTTGAACTCAGTTCAGCTGCTTAACCATTCTGTTATCAGGTGTCATCAACCAGCTTCCCTAGAAAGCATTCTCTAGATGGAGGTTAGTGAGCTCTTGAGAAGAGCCCTTGTGAGGGGAAGGGAAGCAGCTTGGGCAGAGGGAGAAACTGAACTGAGGTGCACCTGTAACAACGGCCTCAGCTGACCCGCCAGGAAGCTCTGGCACTGGGATGGCCCTTAGGAGTGTCCCACCAGGGGAAAGGGAGGGAGACCTCAGTACCCACTCCCATCATTGGCTGTCCACTGCCCCGGAGAAGAAGGCATGACTTCAGGTGAATTGGTGCTCTCTGCCTGCGGGCTGTTTCTGGAGAGGGAGCAGCCGGGAGCCACTGAGTTTCCTGCAGCTGGGGAGGACGCAGCGCCTCAGCACTGAGCTGTGAATCTGGGTGGCACACACGGCTTCCACTACACCAGGCCTCCTGGGGTGGGCTGTTGGCTCCAGTAGGGAGTTCACGGTGAAGGCAAGTCACAGGGCAGGGGGGACCAGGCATGGGGACTTCAGAGGCCTTGAGCAGTGGCAGCCTTCAGTTAGAGAACAATGGGGTAAAGGCAATCCATGTGGGAAGAGTGCAGACAAGAGAGCTGGGGATGTCCTAAGGGCAGCTGCAGGAGGGTGTTTGTGCGGGGAGGAGTGACGGAGATATTTAAAAGGGGAGTTGAAAGCCCTGACTGCCAGGGAAGGAAGTTTGGGCTTGCTTTCTTGAGTCCCCGAAGACATGCCTTTCCCACTCAGAACCCACTTGGGTGCTGTCTGCTCTGGAGCCTGTGGTCACTGGATGTTGAGTTCCCACTGCCTCCCCCTAGGGAGTGTCTCCAGCCAGCTTCTCAGGCTTACTGTGTAAATGCTGACGTGGAGATGGGGCCCCACTAGCTGTGTGACACTGGATAGGTTACTGCCTCTCTGAGCCTCAGTTCCAGCATCTATTAAATGACAGGCTTGAGGTAGAGGACCTCACCTCTCAACTCTAAGCATCCCAGGCAGCTGGTCTCACTCCCATTTAGGCCACAGAGAACCCAACACATGGGCTCTTGGTGATAGAGGCTCCTCCCCAGCCTTTTTCTCCTCCTGTCTCACCTGCCTTGGCCCGGTCAGCGGGGAGAGACTGGGAAGTGCAGAGCCCTGCACCAGAAGCTTCCATGGTTCCCACTCTTTCCCCTGCCAGTTCCTGGCAGGCCCTGACCAGCTGGAGTCTGTTAGTACTCCCATTACCCAGACAACTCTAATTTCTCCAAGACTATAAATAGCCCATAAGAACATATTTAAGCTCGGAGGGCCTTGGCCCGAGTGCAAATTGCATGCACAGTTTATGGTTTTCTCTGCATGACTTTACATTGAGAGTGGTTTCTCTCCTGGCATCCTCATTCGTGTCCCCAACCCAGGTCCTCCCGGGAGGGCTTAAGGTGCCGGTGCACCTGGCTGTGGGGCTCAAAGAGGACTCTCCACCCTGGCCCTGCTCCAGGGGGCCAGATGCTGAGCACCTAGCTTGAAATACCTGCTCCCCAGAATGCTGCCTCTGAGCACCCGTCTGTCTCAGTGCAGCCCATGCAAGGACATGGATGGTCAGCTTGGTCTCACAACAACTCGGTGAGGCCACCAGGCTGGGTGGACTTTCTGCTTTCCAGAGCAGGACATGGGGGCTCAGAAAGCGGCGGTGACTTATCCAGGGCCCCACGGTGTATTAATGAGGGTGAAAGAGAAAGAACCAGACCTTTCTTCTGGGGTGGGGTTGGGGGACGGGATGCAGAGCCCAGTGCTTAGAGAACAGACTCCGGTGCCATCCTATTATGTGACCTTGCACAATTCACTAAACCACTCGGGGACTCAGTTCCTCCATCTGTAAAGTGAGACTTAGAACATCCCTACTTCACAGGGTTGTTAAAGGATTGGTTATCATATGCGAAGCAGATAGTGCTGTGCCTAGCGGGCAGAAAGCACTATAAAAGCTATTACTGCAAAGAAATAATATCTCTTATGAAAGGAATACACAAAACCCTCCAAGTTTGCAGCAGAAAGCAGCGCTGGAGGAGGGATCCACCTCTCACTCTGAACGAATGCTGGACCAGTGCAGAAGAGAGTCCCTTCCTGCCACCTCCTCCAGGTTGGCTCCCTGGTTCCCTCCTCATAGATGAGCAGGCTGAAGCCACCACATACCAAGGGAATGGTCTTGGGGGATGGACTGACCACTCATAGAGGGGCTGCAATATGCCAGGAGCCGTTCCGAACACTTTCCCTTTGTTAGCTCCTAATGGCAAAAAAAGTCCAAATGGGGAAGTGGGCAGTTTCTAAAGTGCACAGGTCTGCCCTGAAGGAATGTGAGCCCAGTATAGCTAACGACGACGAGCACTCCTCTTCCACCTCACTGTCCTGACCGCAACCTGTTTCAAACACCTCCACAAGCACAAGTACTAGCAGTTCATTTTTTTTTTTTGGTCAGGTTCCCTACTCTCTGGTCTCTGATCTGGTCACGCCTGGTGTGCAGTTGATTGGCCATCTCTGGTGACTGACATGAACAGCAAGCCAATAACCAGCCTAACTTCTTGCGTCAGAGTGGCTCCTGGCCAAGGCTTGGTGATTCCCAGGGTTCCCGGGTGCCAAACCCCCAACACACAGGCCATTCTCCCATTCACACACCTCCCTGGTTTGGGGCACCACTAGCAGGCCTTAATCATGATGCCCTGTGTGGCGTCTGAGTCTATAGGGGTCATTATCTATGTCTGCACATGTTTAGGTAGTCAATGTACACACCTGTGAGGTTCAGTGTGTTTATCTCAGGGTATCTGTTTATCCCCCTGTGTGGATTCGGGTGTACATTTATGACTCCTTCCTTGTCCTTTCCCTCCTGCTGTGCTCCCGCCCCAGGCCCCCAGCCCTGCCCTGGTGGGAACTGGGTGCGCACACAGCTACCATCATCCTAGCACATTGCGGGGCCTGGTTGGCTCACATGCCTGCCTCAGTCCTGGGCTGTGAGCTCAGGGAGACGGGGATCTAATTTTATTCACGTCTAGGTTCTCAGGGCTGGGGATCCTGCTGGTATATAATGGGCCCTCGGTAAATGTTGTTTAATTGAAATGAGATGTTTGTGTGTACACACTAGCTTCTACTGTGGACAGAGTCAGAAGGACTGGGCACTTTCCATATGCTTTCTCTCTCACGCCAGGCATTTCAACCAGTGTTTGCTGAGTGGGGGCCAACTCTGATCCAGCCCTGGTAGTGGGCCCCAGGGGCACCCTGGAGCCTGAGGCTTGTCTCTGTCCTGGGCCACTCCTGGGCAGTGCCCACCACCATACTCATGCCTGCATCCAGATGTGTGAATTTGTCCACTTATTTACTCTCTCCCCGGTTAGACTATAAGCTCCACGAGAAAAGGGATCTTATCCGTCTGGGCTGCCTAACATCTCCAGCGCAGAGCCTGGCACAGAATGGAGGTACTCCATAAACAGTGTTGGACAGATGAGTGAGGGGCCCTGGGGGGCTGGGGTTCTGTGGCTCCCATCACACACAGGAAGCAGGATATTGACTGGGCTAAGGATGCGACCCATGCCATCACCCTGACTCTGGGCCTCCCTGGGGCTCTTGTGAACAGGGAAAGTCAGGCCAGATCCTGGCCTATGGTTCCAGGCCACCCCACCCAAACCCTGCTCAGCCAGGATAAGGGTCAGAAGTAAAGCCAGAAAATTACCCTGTTGGCCTCTAGTGCACCCACTCAGGGAGACAAGACCCTCCGATCTGAACAGGATCCTAGAGGTGATCAAATTCACTGCCTTTATGAAAAGGAGACTGAAAGTCAGAGTGGGCCCACGAGGCAGAGCTGGGACTTGCAGGCAGGGCACTGGCTACAGGGGCTGCGCTTTGCAGCCTCCCCGTCCCCAACCCCAGCCCAGTGCCTGGCTCGGACCAGCCCTGAATTCACATTTGTTGATCTCTTCACACTCCTGGAAAAAGGACAGAATGTGAGTCCAGGGTTGTAAGTTTCACTTGGCATCTGA